TACAGGCTTAGGTTGCTCGCCGCGCCTCCTTGAAGTTGGTTTTGGTACCATATGAGCCAGCCTCAATCGCGCCTATAGTTCTGTGCTTCTATACGTGTCTATCTTCTTTGGTGTAAGTACGTGCAGTAACTAGTAAGGTCAAGGCCGGGCGCAGTCGCGTGCGTAAGAGAGCTCACACATAATATGCAAATAAATCGTCGATGATCGCGAAAGACAAATAGCTACGAAACATCAGTAGCAGCAACAGGCAAAAAAATCAACACACGTATAGATGTAGTATATAAGCGTCGCGTTGAGTAAACTGAGCTCTGCTCTGAAGACGATGCGAGCCACGACCTCGGAGGTCGGGATTTCTCACTCGCATGTGCGTAGCTGCTCGGCGCCAGTAGCGGTAAATTGGGCGTCGAATTTTATATATATGGGCTATTCCACAACAGGTGTTGCAGGCCCAAAAAATGAAGTTGAAACTAACCATTTACTCTTCAAGAACACAATGAAAAATGAAAATCCTGAAGAGCACAGCCCCCTAGGTCCAACCCTCATGGATCTGCATGGACTCAAAGTTGGATTTTTATGTTTTGAGGATATTCTGCTTGTTACTCTGCTTTTTTGGGGTGAATATAAACAAAATTTTAAACCATGTTTTTTCATGTAAAATTTGATGTAGAATTCAAATCTGTACTCATATGAGACATTCATAAGCTCAAAACCCCTTAAAATTGAAAAAATAGAGCAAAAGACCATCAAAGTCTAAAAATAAATGTGTTCGTATACCTCAAATCAGCCCATATTGTAATATTTTCATCGATACACCAAAATACAACTTCTGATAAAGTTTGGTAACTGAGTCTCCCTTACAGATCATTTTGAAGCTTTTGAAAGGCCAAAAAACATGGAAAGTGAGGAAAAAACCATGATCATTTTGAAGCTTTTGAAAGGCCAAAAAACCTGGAAAATGAGGAAAAAACCATGTTTTTGGCCTTTCAAAAGCTTCAAAATGATCTGTAATGGAGACTCAGTTACCAAACTTTATCAGAAGTTGTATTTTGGTGTATAGATGAACATATTACAATATGGGCTGATTTGAGGTATACGAACATATTTTTTTTTGACATTCATGTCCTATTACACCATGCTTTCTATTTCAAGGGGTTTTGAGGTTATTAATGTCTCATCTGAGTACAGATTTGAATTCTAAATCAAATTTTACATGAAAAAACATGGTTTAAAATTTTTTTCATATTCACCCCAAAAAAGCAGAGTAACAAGCAGAATATCCTCAAAACATAAAAATCCAACTTTGAGTCCATGTAGATCCATGAGAGTTGGATCTAGGGGGCTGTGCTCTTCAGGATTTTCATTTTTCATTGTGTTCTTGAAGAGTAAATGGTTAGTTTCAACTTCATTTTTTGGGCCTGCTACACCTGTTGTGGAATAGCCCATATTGATAGAGTAATAGCATACGAAAATGGCGGCCTACCACCGGGGATAAGCTTGAGCTTATACGGAGCCATAATGTTAATCCCCGGGGGTACGCCGCCATGACTTCGACGCCCAATAGCGACGTCAGTTTTTGCGCGACCGGCATCCCGAGACGACAACGCTATAATATACATCTCGGAGCTTTTTGTATTCTTATGTACATATTATAACCGAGAGTCGTCGTCGGCAATGATGCATGCCGCCGGTTAATAACTAGTGTATTCTCTTTCGCGTCGATGTGTGCTATATAGTCAATTCTGCTTCTGCTTTGTGTACGAGCGTGATTTTACAATTTGGTGCGCCTCTCGTCGTCATTGCAACTGACGAAGAAGAAGAAGAAGAAAAAAAAACGTATGACGTTCACCTATGAAGTGTGTGTGTGTGTGTGTGATACCGATTTTCGCTCGATTGGTGAAAAAATAGATACTCACTTTTCGACGGGAACCAGAAGTAAAAAAAAACAATAAAACCGACGTAAGCGAACAAACTTGTTGAATAAACATTTTGGAATTAATGGGTTCGTGCGCGCGGCTGAAATGATCAATTATTATATACATCTCGTTTAAATATTCATAACGTCTTCGGCGTATTGGAACTGTTAGCTAATGGCTCGATGAATTACGCGATTTAGAACATTTCCAAAAACGTGTAAAAAATTCGACGGTTAATAATAGAAAATTCTTAGCGCTCACGAAGAAGTGGTTCTTCGAATTTACATTATAACTAATGACGATTTTTAATGGAAGTCTGAAAAATTGATATTTTTCATTTTGATTTATCGCGCGCACGCGTTAAAAATAGAATGTAATCGTAACGTGCAAAATTGTATACAAACTTTCCATACGCATCAAGTGAAATACAAGACGCTTTATTTTTTTAATAATCGTTTACGTATATTACGAGAGAATTCGAAAAATCACAAAAATTCCGATAAAAATAATAACTTGCTTACGGTATAGACAACTCATTCAGCCGTTAGTGTAAATAATCGAGATAACTAACGAAATGTCTGAATAATTATTACGATTGGGATTATGCATTGTGAAAGCTTTTACGTTTCGGAAAATCAATTGTGCGCACGAATTTTTTTTCTTGCAGAAAACTCACGATAAATATTCACGAGGAGCGGCATGACCGAGAGGATAAAAGGTGATTGAGTTTCCGTGAAAATTCGAGGAAAAAATCGACAACGACGACAATGCTTTCGACGACGATTCCGGCGAATTTTCTAAAGTGATACATAAACGAGATCGTCGCGTACTATGTTTCCTCGTAAAATGGCAAAGCTCAAAATGTTCAATTTTGCACTGAAAAGGTAATAGATCAATCTCTATTTTATCTCAGCATGCGCCTTTTAACAATTAATTCACTCGCAATCTCATAGTTTCAATAGTTTATTTCTTTCTGACGGATTGAATTTAATTGTCCAAGAAACGTTTCTTATTAATACACTTTCTTAATAATAAAACATTTATCTAAAGTCAAGAGAATTATTGATTGCGATAAATTCTTACGAAAATCAAGTGCTGCTGCTGCAAAAAAAAAAATCGTTATCATACACGAGAAATGCCAAATCGCACAAAAGCAATCGTTTTATCGACAAAACAGTTTTAATACGGTGACCTATAATTTTTTTTTAAATACACAAAATCGTTTAGGTATATATTCAGATTTTATTTCAAAAAAAATGTACACGAGCGTCAAACGGTCATTCAATAATCTGCTAACATTGTAATTTGCCAACCACTCGAATGCGTTGAACCGCGAGAGAGGATGATATTCAGTTTCGAATTAAAATTTACACGCTTCATTTTATGAAACAAAATCAAATTAGTTTACGACGATGAATAAGGATGTCGGACTAGCATTTGTACCAATGTGCAGATACTGCATCATTTGATTTTTATAATTATCTTTAAATACTCTTACGTTTTACATTACAAATGCTACAAATATTACAAATATTTTACAAATACTCTTAGATCGATCTGAAGTTAGTATTGTACGATTGACACGTAAAAAAACATTGGTATACTATTGATAAAAAAATTATGTCATCGAGTGTATGTAGCATTGCTCAATTAATTTAAAAAATTTACTTTGAAAATATTTGCTTTTTACATTATGTATCGCAAAACCGTGTATATTTTGTAAACAAGCCACGTGGAAGCGTCGACGAAAATAGTCAAAAGAGAACGAGGTGCAATAACGAAGATTTAAGGAACGAATGACTTTACAGAATTTGAGATATTTACTATAACAGATTCGAGCGAATGAATTTAAATCCCTAATTTTCTGTCGTGCGCCACTTCATTTTACAATATCGAGTAAATATACACGAGCGAATCTGCAAATAATAATGCAAACAAACCAAGGTTCCTCCGAAAGGCAGTCGTGATTTTTTTCTTAACGATCTTCGCATGATTCGAGTTAGATGCAATATACAAATTTGTCAAGTGCTGCCCTGCACGACACGACGTACGTGTTGTGCAGTATGCCGAACTCGATATTATGTATTTTTTTTTGTTAACGTCCGAACCGCGCCGAACGTTCTTCGCTGATATTTCATAATAAAGAGCGAGAGATACTCTCACGATGAATTTTTTTTTTCCCTAGTCATTCGATATGAATATTTAACCGTTAATTTTTGCGTGCGAAAAAAAATTTTGGCTAATTTTATGCGGATGGTGCCTCGGCGAAGCTTTTTTCTTCTTCATATTTTTTTAATCGATTTTGGGCACGTGAAAAAGGTATGATTACGGAAAAAATTTGCAATTTATCAAGGACGTCGTATACACACAGAGTTCTTATACGGAATCGATTGAATCAGTAAAAATCGTTTTTCTTCAAAAATCTCAATTAAAACTCGTTGTTATTAGATAATCGAGTCGAATTTTGCAAAACGATCTCGAACCTCGCAGCGATCGTTATGTTTCTACGTCGAAAATAAAAAAAAAAAACTTATTCGGAAGGGCGAAACGCGCGCACGAACACATCGACTTTTAATTTCGATTCCGCATGGAGAAAAATCGCGAATCTGCAACGCCAGCGATATCGTATTTATATTATGTAGCAATGCGTTCGACGACGCTCGCACTCGTGCGTATATATATGTAATCGTATAAACATTCACAAACACACAGACAGACACACGCGTGTAGTAGTCGTCGTCGTCGCGCTTCCGAAACATCATTGTCATTTTTTGCAATGACATCATCGGCAAACATTAGCAACTCATCAATCATAAAATGTGATATTCGGCTTGTAGTAGTAATAAACGGCGGCGACGCACACTACACACACACACGATTATTATAATCGGCGGAATCGGCGTTGCTCGCAGCGGCGCACCACGCTGACTTCTTCGTAACTTTTTATAATAATACTTTTTTAAATTGAAAAACAAAATACCGCTTGACTATGGAATATTAATCGTTACAATTTTAATCGCTCGATATACATTATTTACGCATTGGCCGCGTACGTAGTGGCTCTCGCGACTCTCTGTGTATATCTCGAACAGAATACAGTAGTGTCTGCAGTGCGGCGCGGACTGCGTGACTCGCGCGAGCACGACGGCACACGACGAGTGCGTAGTTACACGAATCGAGTCGGTCTCTATTAATAACAAATAATACGGAGTGCATCTCTCTTTTTACGCGCTGCGCGGACTCTGCAGAGCCCCCGCATACATGTAACGTTTCGTGTCGGTGCGCAAAGTGCGTCACGTTGTGCGTGCATGAAAACGGGTCCAATATCGGACATAACCTATGCACGCAGGGATTAGTGCGCGATTCTCTCCGCGATACACTGACTGACTCTGCGCCTCTGCGGGGCCGCTTTTGAATTGCGCCAGATTTGGCCTATCCGTGTGTATGTGTAGTAGCGTGTATGTGCGCGCCGTGCACGCGTGCCCGTAGTCGAGAACCGGAGCTGCTATTTTCGCTCCAACACGCCGCCGCTGCTGCTGCTGCTACTGCATTTTTCGACTAAATGCAGCGATGCGCTCTCTCGCAACGTATACGAGTCTAAATGGTCGTTCTAGTGTTGTGTTGCCTCCTTGCACAAGTCCATTAATAGATATATATTGAAATAAATTTGTGATAGCCCCGGTGCGATTTCGTGGGCGCGCGCGCGTGTGTGTGCGTGTGTATACATATAGCCACTGACGACGACTTTCTTTGCTTCTGCACGCAATTTCGGGGGACCGTTGGACACCGAAGAGAGAGAGAGAGAGAGAGAGAGGTGACCGCACGTGTTTTACTTGCATTACACAAAGCATGGTGGATAGGCTATTAGATAAGAAATTACCCCTTTTTTCGTGGAAATTGTAACGATTTGCAATTTTATGCTTTTTTTTCTGAGTAAATTTTGATGTTATGACAGTGAAACTATTTAGATTTTTCTTGACTTTTAATAAATTTTATTTATGTCTGATCTATCATTGATATGAACTCGTTTTAGCTTTATTCTTTTTCTATTAATAAAAACATTACATAGCACTAAATAATATATTTCTAGAATTGATTTTTATTGTCAACATACACACTCGCTTGATGTATTATTTTTTTCAAATTTGAAAGAAAAATAAAAACTTGAGAAATTCTTAAAACTTTTACTTTCTATTCTATACGTGTATGCACTTATTATGATTAATTGCAAAAAAAGTAACCTCTTAAAAATTAATTACTTTTGTAAACACTGAACTATAATTTGCGTATATTATATGTAGAAAACAAGTGTTGTTTACTCTTAAGAAAGTGGAATGTCAGAACTTACAAAAATATCTTTAATTATTCTTTCGTGGAAAACTATGGTGTTGTTGCATAATTGAATGATATTTAGTTAAGACAATTAAACATATAGAAAATTATGCTCATAAATCTTACGCAGGGTATTAATGTATAAACCAGTGCAAAGTGTATCCAAGATATTTATGAAAACTTTGTGTTTTCCAGATAAAAGAAGTTATTTTCGTGAAGAAATGTTAACATAACTCAACCACCATGTCTCGAAGTTTGCCGGAGAGAGTAGCAGGGCTATACTATTCTTATGGTTTGTTTTGCTCCTCTCATCCCGTTTCAGTTATTTCAATTACTATTTCTATTGCCTTGCTATGTTGGTGAGTTTTCTTTTTATTTTTGTTTCATGGTTTTTAATTATTATAAAATTGTATTATAAAACACATTAATATGAAAATCATACATTGCAGTTATCCCTTGGTAAATTTGCCTATGCCTGGAGTCGCTCCGACATATGTGCTAAATGATTCTATCAACTCAATAAATAGTTCCGACAGTTCTGCATTCTACGTTCAGCAAATAACTCTCCGATCTGCAGTTGTGCCATGGGATACAAAATTATCTTTATCTGATGCATTCAGAGGACCACTTTATGAAGTTTTCAACTTGTTAGAAATCATTCAAAATTATGAAGACCCTATCAGGTTATTATTATGTTTTTTGTTTTAAGATTAAACTTATACTTTTTCAAGTTAAATGATGTTAATTATATAATTTTTTTATTTCTAGTGGTAAATCATTGAGTCAATTCTGTTTACCTGTAGAAGCACTTAAAAAGAAAAGTGTTAAAGTATCAGAAGTACTGCCTGAGTACAGTTGCTTAATTTTATCGCCAGCTGATTTTTGGCATCGCAGTGTTGAAGAATTTAACCAAGATACAAACATAATAAATACCATTTTTTCGTATCAGGTAGTGCATCAATCTTGTACTTTTTCAAAGTTTTGTCATAACTAATAGTTGATTATTTTAATTAGACTCTACAAAAAGGCAAAACTAGTACAGCGGAATTACTACTGGGTATGAATGTAAAGGAAACGGGCTTCAAGCGACATCCTATTCGAATTCGTCAAAGAGTTTTGCAGTACTCAGTGACAATATTTTTGAAAGATTATGATCCAATGTATGTATAAACTAATATTTATTTTTGTTAATTCCATTCAGTTTCATGAGTATTAAAATGTTGCTTTATTTTTCAGATTTATTAAGGGATTAAAAGAAAAACTTAAAATAATTTACCCATTACATCAACAAGAAGATGAATCATATAAAATTTCAACAGATGAAATTTTTCATATTTACTATCCTGGCGAATTCAATTACAGTGATTTATTTCCACTTACCATGACATTTATTGCCATATTTTTTTATATATATTTTTCAGTACGAAAAATAGAATTAATTAAATCCAAAAGTGGAATAGCATTCAGTGCTGTGGCAACAGTTATATTATCACTACTTATGACCATGGGTGCATGTTTCTTTTTTGGACTAACGTTGAGTTTGAGTGGAAAAGATATATTTCCTTACCTAGTGGTTATCGTGGGATTGGAAAATGTTTTAGTGTTAACTAAAAGTATTGTCAGTACTCCTGCTCACTTAGATATGAAAATTCGAGTTGCACAAGGATTATCAAAAGAAGGGTGGTCTATTACTAAAAATTTGTTGATAGAACTTACGATTCTCACTATTGGTTTGCTTACTTTTGTACCAGCTATTCAAGAATTTTGTATTTTCGCTATTGTTGGACTTCTCAGTGATTTCTTTTTGCAAATATTTTTATTCTCAACCACTTTAGCAGTTGATATGTGTAGAAAAGAAATGTCCCAAGAAAGTTCAAAGTTCCACTTACAAAATGCACCACCATTGAGAAAACAGCAATTTGTAACAACAATTCCTAATAAAAAACCACAGATATTTAGATCAAAATCTCATCCGAGATTAAATGGACTGATTCCTTCAAAAGGTCCTACAAATGTTATCGCACCTAACAATCAGAACACTCTAACATTAGTAAAAATTCCAAAGCGTTTAAGACTTGTCCATTTCTGGGCCAAAACAAGAATTTTCCAAAGAGCTTTCATGGTATGGATGGTTGTGTGGATCAGTATGATAATATATAATTCTGGAATTATCGAACACATGGTTCATCTGGGAGAAACTTTGAAACCAGTTACAGAAGTAGAAAGGTATTCAGTTAGTCCTCCAGTTACTGAAAGTAGTCCAGTGAAAGTAAATATAATGAAACAAAATTCAAATTCAGAAAAAGTTGATAAATTTGTCAATAGAAATCAGCAGGTAAGAATAAGGATAAATTAACAAAAAGAGAATTTCAATATTAATTCATTAGTTGAAGATAAATGTAACCAGAAATATAAAAAATACTATTTCAGCAGATGCCGGTTTCCAACAATCTAACAGAAGAAATAAATCGTCTTCGACCTGTTGATTTTCCACCGTGGAATCGTCTTTCGCTCTATCATTGGTCCACAGTACTTTCAGCTTATAATTTTTCCACTGCTGGAGAGCAAGTAATTATCTTGCCCACTATCAAATTAGCTCATGCTGTAAGGCCTCAAGATGTGGTCATGATCAGTAATCCGAACGACGTGCAACAATTCCATTGGCAAAGTTTAGCTAGCGCTGCTCTCGATCCGCTTGATTTTTCCGGTAAATATTTTTCATTTTGTTCTTCAGGATAAATAAGACAAGAAGTTAAAAAGTGAAACTTTTGATAATAATCAAATTAAATTTTTCAGATATGGAAGTACCAATTCGATCTGAAGGTCGAGGCTTCATTACTAACGCTCCCCTGGTCCCGACCAGTCCCATGGAAATCTTTTTAACGGCCATACTGTGTTTTATCAGTGTAATTGTTGTAGTTTATACAATGGTTGTGCTTTATCGATGCATTTGCACACGCAATTATGCAGAGTGGCGAGCTAGTTGGTCATCTACTCAAAACAAAACGAATTACGATTCTGCAACTCAACTTGTACTTGAATCAGTACCACTTGTTCTCGAGGGTCACATTCAAGAAGTGGAATGCATATCGACTGACGGCAATACCGTTGCTAGCACTTGTCTTGCTGGACACATTAGAATATGGGACTCTTTATCTGGAGAACAACTAACTTGTATTGATAGAAAAAAGTTTTTCAATAGCAGAGATTCACCTAAAGAACGGGTAAGTAAATTCAGGCAAAATTAAATAACTCAATGTACAGACAGTAATTAAGAAATTTTGCAAATAACTTTTTTGTATTTATTGCAGGATGATACAATGTCAGACTACGAAAGTGGATCGCCTCCATCACGGGGAGAGCTGGAAAATTCAAATTCAATGGGATTATACTCAAGCCTGGTAAAAATAAAAAATGAACAATCTTCGCCATCCGCAGCTAATTCAGTACCAAATCATCAAAACGATACGAGTTACCGAAGTACTGATAATTTGTCTATGAACCATAATATGAGTAATGATTATGATTACCAAATTGGCGAGAAATTGACACCTATATCACCCACCAGTTCTATCTTTCGTCAAAGTTTTGATCACACCGACGATCTCCCTGATTTACGAGCTAAAATCAATACAAAATTTACGTCATCTCCATTTCCTTCCGGTGCATCTAAACAATTCAGCTATGAAGACGGTTTTGATTTTGGAGAACAATATAAACAGCTTTACGAAGAACACAGTAAGCGTCGTGCCTTTGATTATCAAGATAAAGCAGCGTGTAATGATGAAAATTTTGGAAATACATTGAAATTTTCAACTGGTGCAACAACAACTGAGAATTCAATAAACACTGATGGAAATGCAGAACAAAATGAAGTTTCATCGATTTGGTGCATGGACTATCAAGAAAACTTGATCGCTATCGGCTGTGCGAATGGTAGTATAGAATTTTGGGAAGGCACAACTGGAAAATTCAAGGTATGCATAGAGACAGGGATTTATGAATTTATCCCATTTATAATTTATTACATACTTTTATCTCTCTTTCAGTGCGTTTTTGACGACGGATCAGGACTGGGCATATCGGCAGTAAAATTTGTTGGTAGCCGAGTGGTAGTAGCTAAACTTAATGGTACCTTGGATTTTCTCCAGTTAGAAAGTTACAGCGAAGGCCAACAAATAGATTGGGGGTTCACGTCTTATCGAAGAAGTAAGTTTACGCCCGAAATAAATAAAATAAAAGACTAATGATGATCCCATGAAACAAAACATTTATTTGAACATTAATTTTGCCAATTTCAATTGTTATTGAATATATCTTAAATCTTTCTCAGTATTGAATTAAAAAAGAATTTCGTGTTGTTTCAATCAGCGTTTTTTAATTTTAAACTTTTTTTCAGCACACGTAAGAACTGGTAGTGCAGGATCACCGATGGACTTTAGTAATATCATGCAATCAGAGGAAGACCTTCGATGTCTAAAAATCGGTACTCATCGGGCTCATCAACAAGCCATTACAGTGTTAGATAGCGAAGGCGGACGTGTTTTAACTGGAAGTCAAGATCACACTCTGAAAGTTTATAGGTTTGTATAATTCATTTATATCTTCTTTTTTACATTTGATTACGAATAATGACAAACAAATCATACTTTGAAAGTGTCTTATTTCAAGTAGTACTGTAGCTTTACAGATTCAATTAAACTCGGAAATCAATTATTTTAAAATTGCATTGAGTTAACGGCAGTCATAATAACGTTTAATTTGATTTGATTTAATTTTAGTTCGAAGTTACGTTTTCTTGGCGTTGTATCTGTTGGCATTTTATAATTTCGATTTATCTAGAATAGAACACAATGCAATCTCTTAACTATCGAATTTTCTATAGTCAAGCTTAATATCTGATCATTACTAAATATTTTATTTTTTAACTTTTCAGGCTGGAAGATCAATTGCCTCTTTATACTTTGCACGGTCATTGTGGGCCCATTTCTTGTCTCTTTATTGACAGAATGAGCCCAATGACATCTGGAAGTGGGTCCCAAGATGGTTTACTGTGCGTCTGGGATTTATCGACAGGTAAGCTCATCATTAACTTATACATTATTTTGAATTAAAGCCGTACTAAATTGTGATTTTTACCCTCAGGTACATGTATGTATAGCATACAGGCACACGATGGTGCTGTTGCCGCCGTCACCTGTTCGGCCTCGTACGTTATAAGTATAGGGGCTGACGAAAAGTTGTGCGTTTGGGAGCGTTTCCAAGGCCATTTACTGCACGCCCTTCCAGCTCATAAAGCCGCCTATAGTTTGCAGTTGGTTATGCTGACACATCATTTACTCATCACCAGTAGTCAGGTAATGCAACAATTCGGCGTGATCTAGAATTAAATGTTATGATTTACTTGAACGTTTGCATTTTATTACTTTTCAGGGATCGCTTATCGTTTGGGATGTAAGAATTGGTGAACCCATCAGGGAAGTGAGATTAGGTCATAAGGATAGTTGTACGTTCATAAAACAAATGATTCCACTCCGAGATAGCATTGTTTGTGATTTTGGACGTCAACTAAGAATAGTTAGGTTCCCTCTAGTTTCAGATAAATTAGACTAAATTGCTTTATCGATAATTAAAGTTTAAGAGAATGCGTAGTAAAGCTTTTTTTGAGATTTTTTATTTATTGAATTATTTTCAAAGAGGATAATTTTAATATTGTGCCCAAAAAATTACAATCATGAAATATGTCATTCTCGGTTTTGTCGCAAGTGACAATTTTATGTTACCTTAGATAATTTTACTGTGACCCCATGTAATATATAATTTATTGTTGTAAATAACTTCATAACATTCTTAAATAGATGAAACATGTAAGTTAGAAATGTGAATTGTAGAATAATGATTATATTAAGTGTTTTTACTACTAAATGTTTAATAATGACGTGAGGCATCAGCGCTTAAGCTTTATGTGTGACAGAATCTGACCACTTGTTTAATATGCAATTTTTTCGATATTAGCTTTATTAATGCTTTGTTTCGTCGTTACCAATAATAAGAATAAAAAAATTTTGCAAGACTTTTTTTTATTTTTCATCAATTAGTCAATTGTTGCTGCTATTTTCTTACTAAAAAATAGTGGTAAAATAAACATGCGACTGACTACGATGATGAAAAATGTACATAAAGAAATATTCTATCAGCATGACTGATAAATTGTCTGAAGGTTTTATGCAACTTAACATGTTTGTAAATAGCAACATTATGGAAGGCTAGTGCGTCTTAAGATAATTTTTAATTGTGTGATTAATACATTAATCTGATTTCTTCACATATGTACGAAAGGAAAAAAAATTATTGTAATTAAATCAAAGAGTAAAATTGACCCGTTGCTGAATGGTAATGAGAGATAAACCAGCATGAAAGCTTTCGTAAGTTTTACATTAAATCAAGTGTAAATAAACAATTGTAAATAAGTTATATTTTTACAGTACGTCACATTGTTAAAAAAAAAATTGTTATCAAATTTTAGATACAAAATTTTTTTATCATACTAGATTATTATATAATATGTTCTTGAATGCGTATTAGTACAAAAATTTTGAATTTTATTAATTCATATTTTCATTCATTCAACTCCTTTCATACCAAAGAAAAGAATTCTGGCATCAGTATTACAAATTGACCATAAAATCTGCTTCGATATGAAGCTTAAAGTATTTTTTTTTAATTGTTTTCCAAATATTTCGCCAACCTATTTTCTACAGGGTCGACTCCCTATTCCTAACTTTAATGGAGCATATTTTCACGGTCAGCGAGAGGAATGCATTCGAGCATATATTGGCAACGTCGGTCAAATCAAAGGCGAGTAAATTAGTCAAGTTCAAAGCCAGAGCCGCAATGAGTAATGCAATGAGTCAGGGATAGGTAAACCACAACACGAGCCAGCCCGGTCTAAAGTAAACCAGATCAGGCGTGTTACCCTATACCCAATGTCAACGGATCGCAATTATTGACCCCAACTCCATATAGCGAGAAAAAAATTCTCAAAAATGATTTTTGGGTCATCGCGAGTATATCGAATCCTTGCAGCGAGACAGTTTCGTTGTTTTAAAACTACGGGTCGTATAGGGTAAAACTTCTATCGGTGGGAAAGTTACGTATAGAGTATAAAGTGCCCTACATAAAAATCGTTACTTTTAGCCTTGTGTGCGGTTGGAATATATTTAGACCATATGGATGTCCAATAATATTGGCGCATAATTAGAGACGTGCCTAGGAGATTGAACAGTTCAGATCCGACGAATACATTTTTTCGACTCAATCGAAAGAATGCACTTCGTGAAATGTATAAAAAATTTGAGCAAACTTGAAAAATTTTCACGAATATTTTTATTTCAGGTGCAGGTAAGCATTGGCTTTCCCGCTTCGTCGAACTGGGGCTCGTCTTTGTAGCCGGTCTTAATCAAGAATTTGATGAGCGCACTCGCTGAGTAGATACTCGATCTCATTCTCGCTGCTCACTTGCGTCTTTGTAAAGGCTACCTACTAGCGAATTTGTAAATAAACCATTCGAGTCAACAGACGTCGCGCTTCTCGTGACTCGCGTACAATATACACAGCGAAGGAAAATACATTCATCTATGTGATCTTCGTTTGTAAATAATAAGAATAAATCCTAGTCAAGTTAGCTATTGAAAATCGCCAGTCTAAACCGGTGGTGCTTAATTAGTTAAATTTTACAATAAAACGTTTACAAATGATGTTTAAAGTATTCCATTTGAAGCGCGAATATATCGCCGGGTACAATCTATACGCGATCAGCTGTAAGTCGTAGAACAAAATATGATAATGTCGACAGATCGAACAGTATGAAAGTTGTATTAAACGACTTACATTGTTGTCAGTTGATAACGTCAGAGCTGGGGTTTTGTCCAAATAACAAAACAATTTAACAATAACCACTGCAAGATAAGATTATTTTATATATACACTGGTACTTAAAATTAAAAATTATGTTAGATTTTGCACGAGTTTTCACAATTCAGCAAACACCAGTGTTAGAAGCGAGTCGTGACTGTGTTAGCGAAGCGTTTGCGGCTCTCTCTCAAATTTGGCACTGCCTGCGTATTACGGAGCATTTATGAACTAAATTATTTCGACGAAGTCGAAGACTGAGTTCCAATTTGCGTCTGACACTATGGGACCGAAGCGGCGCCATAACGATCATGAACGCATTCGATAAGCACGATCTTTTCAAAAGGCCGGCGAATATCGACGAAAGTCGATACGACGACGAGGAATTCGTGAAAGAAGCCAAAGAAATTATGGTAAAGCCAAACTTGTCCTTCTACGACATGATTTCGTTGCGACCAGAGACGGTGGAAAAATTAATCACCTATACTGAGATGTATGATTTCGTAGAATCGAATAAATATTACGAGTTTTCTGAAATTTATGGCGAAGTGTTTGGTACGTATTTGTGCGAGCTGCTACCAAGAAGATTTTTCAAGAAGTGGACACTGGATCCACTTTTGGAGTTGACAAACTACAAGCTGCCGATTCTCTGCTGTGACAAAATCATTGAGAAGCTGCAGAACGAGGATTTGTGGAGTGTTTGCTTGGCAGCTACAACCCAAAACTAGTAGTGTCGATAAGCATATTTTCAGTATTTTTGCTGTGTCTGTTATTCGATATTTTGTGCGATTCAAATGAATAAACTAGAAAAATCACGTTTTTCCTCACACTTTACAACATTCTGAGAAATCTATTGGAGCTACCGAAAAGAAATTTACTCTAATTTTTTTGGTATAATTTTTGCAAAATTTTGGTTTAAATTTCGTTTTGGTAGCTCCTATAGATTTCTGAGAATGTTGTGAAGAGAGAGAAAAAACGTGATTTTTCGAGAACCCGAAGCCGAATTACTGAATTTTCAGTTACAAAAACGCATCCCACAAAAACAGCTGTATCTCGACAAAATAAAAGCCGTTTTAAAATCTGAATACGGCGTTGGAAAGGCGAGACAAAAATCTATCAAACAATGCATTCACATTTTTTCAATAGATGATCTTGCTGAGCCGTTTTTTGAAGAAACAAATGCACTTTTCTCGATTTTTAGTTAATTTAATGTAAATCCACACCCGTCTTGTGGCACGGGTTTTTTTTCACCACATGAGCTGAAACTTTGTAGAGGTCATTTTTTTGGGGGTTTGAAACTTTTGAGGGGGCGTCTCGTCGATTTAAAAAAAAAAAAAATATTGTCAGTCTAATGTACGTAAATCGATAACAATTGAAAAATTTCTCGAAAACTCGAGCTTTAAAGTAAAAGTAGGTTACAGCGAAACTGCAATTTTGTGAAAAAAAGTCCATTAAGCCAATATTGAAAACTCGACGATTAATAAATGGACACAAGTGGATACGAATATAGAGCGCATTTTCCAGAGCTAATGACCAATGGTAGCGAAGCTGCTGTTGCTGCTACATATCGATGATGGCCTTATTAGCGGAAAAACGCCCGAAGTCTTTGAAATGCAGCAGTGAACTTGGGTTCGAAGCTCGTACCTACCTCGCGGTCAGTCGATTCATGGAAACTCTCGCGTGTATTAAAAAAAAAGAGAGCCGAGATCGAAATTATATTACAGAAATTATACGAATAGAGGAGGAGAGGGTACATACGGAGCCTGATTGCGTGTGTATAAACGCGAAAGATAGGACACGATGATAGGTAACCCAAGAGTAGAGGGGCTGCTGCTGCTGCTGCTGCGTGAAAAAGGAAGGCGCGAGTAGCCGTGTAATATAATCGAGTGCCACATATATATATACCATCTCTCTCTCTACTCGCGGATCGCGATTTTCCGTGCGTGTGTATAGCAGCAGCAGCAGCCCATCAGACAGACGCTTAAAGACCAGCAGCGGCGCTCGCGGTGACACATTATACATCGTTATACGGTGTCGCGCGGGGCCGACAATGACACGAGGATCGGTTGATTAGACCGGATTGTGGGGTTTTTTTTTGCCTGGCGATCGATCGAAAAAAGTGCGGTGCGTGGTGGTCGAGGGTGTTCGTGAGTGTGTGTTGGTGCATTAACAAAAAAAAGAGGCGCAAAACGATCGGCTGGATATAATATACAAAGTATAATTATGCGATGATTTAGATAGAGTCGTATAGTTTCAACCGATTTATTCACCCGCTTCCAGCCCCGTTCGTAATCGTTATTATCAACGAGGAGAAAAAATTATAACGATTATACATAGTGAACGAGATGGTGCTGCATCAGTTTAAGGAGGACATGTCCAGGTTTGTTTTTGTTTTTGTTGTTGTTTTTTCTTCTTCTTCTTCTCTCTTCTCGATTCGTTGCCTCCGATCGATATATACCTCTACGCATCGCGCAATGACCCGAATTCGGTTCGCGACAATTAATGAGTTATACGCGTCGTGTTTTTTATACTTTTTACTTTCATTCAAATCCACTTACGTAACGAACTCGGTCTCGTCTCTCGCCGACCGTGCGTATATATGTGCGTGTATATACCGTCCGAGGTAACTCGTTATACACACGGAGGATTTTTGACTTCATATCGTATACGAGATTGCGCGACGAAGAGTAAACTGCATATTTTGTAATGTGGGTTTTTTTCTCTCTCGTCTTTTACAATCGTTTAAAATGCAACCTGTATGCGTATTATTATACTTTAAAACGGAGACGTCGTCGACCCATTGTGTCGACCATCAATTGCGCCCGTAATTTCATTCGAATTGAAGCGTCGGAGTGTCTTGAATAGGAAGTCCGTAAAGTTTCTTTTGTGCTGTGCATGCGTGTGCCTCGAACGTTGCCAATAATTTTCTAGATCCGCACTTGAGCTCGACGCAGCGGCAGCGACATAGTTTATAAATCGTAAAAATCTCATTTTTATTATTTTTTTGCCCGTTGCATAATTCAATAACGAAGTGTACTAAACGATTGTTTGTCTATAAAATACAATCGCTGGAAGCTCTCGTCACTCGACCCCGGCTTGGATACCGGCAATTTCATACCTGTATGATTTTTTTCTTATGAAATTATGGTTTCGCGAGCATAATCAATCGTGTATATAAACGTCATTATCGCGTAAACGCGAATGCAGTACACGGCGTTTGTATAATGATGTTCTTCTGTAATCGTCCCAGCGCATCCTCCGCTGTATATAATACAACCGATCGCATCTCGGTATTATATGCAGTTTTGCAACCGCGTCGACGCTCTAAGATTTTCAAAGTATAAAATAGCAAAGATTATTCTACGGAAAAACGAGGACTCGACACTTCGTCTCTTTATTATATTAATTAATGTCAAAAGAAGATAAACGCGCGCGGCAACGATCGGTTTATACATCGAGTCGGAAAAATGAAGCGCGAATATCGTCGATTCGCAATTATAGAAATCCGCCGCGCGGTTGCACATTGGCGCAGGCACGCAGGTGCAGGTAAAAGTGATTGTGTGCCTTCGCAGCTCGACCTTCGCAGCAGCCGGCGTATAACAGCTCGCGAGACAGGTCATCGCGAGATATACTGCATATAATCGGTAATTCACCTTGTGCGCGTTTTCGAGCGATGGATTTCGAATTCATCTTTTTTTTTTCTCTTTTCGTTTTGCGCAATACAGTTTCACCCTCTTTTTACCTCGTATTTATATATAAATGTATAACGAAGAATCGCAGAGCCGCGACCAATGAAAGTATAATCTCTGCCTGAATTTGCAATCCCGCATTTGTTTATTTATTTACTCGATATACAGAGTCTAGCGACCGGGCGAGACGGAGATAGAGAGCGAGAGCAAATAAACACAATCTGCAGACAATGCAAATCGTGCGTGCGCGCTGCTGTCGTTGCGCTTCATTGTGTTATATAAAAAAACAGCACGCTGTATCGGCGGCGCGTCGATAAGCCGCACGCATTTTTCAATTTTTTTTTTTTTTTTTTTTTGAAGAANTTTCAATTTTTTTTTTTTTTTTTGGTCACTTTTGATTAGATGTGTATATTATTACGATAATTAAATCGTGTCGACGGATGTCAACTATGAATATAATGATGCCGCTTTATTATGCGTGCGTTATCTTTCGCACCAAAAAAAAAAAAAGAAGAAGAATGAATCGTCCTGTTTAATTTTCACATCATTATGTAACTCGTGTATCGTTATACATTAAAAAAGGTAAAGAGAGAACTCGCGGCTACCTGCCACCTATGCTGAAATTGTATATATCATACCTACAGCGACCTTACGTTATCGGCTGTATACAATTGTACACACGTACAACATGGAATGCAATACGTTGCGCTTATTAGTATATATCGGACATGGATCTGGCGCAAAAAAAAAATATTGTGTTTTTTTTTCTGCCTCGCGCGCTACTACCGCTCGAAGTGTAAAATTGAGGCTATTAAAATGCTAAGTAATATCTTTTTTTTTTTTCCTGAAATGAGGCAAATTCGTTGTTTTGGAATATATAGTTCCACGCGCGCGCGCGAGCCTCGTCATCCCGTAACAGTAGCGGATAATATCATTCCAACGATGCTATATACGCTATACTTTGTCGAAAAAAATAATTCTCACGACGCGCTGATCCTCGACTCGATTGACAGATACATCTGAAAATCGTTATATTTTTTTTTTTTTTTGCCACGCTCTCATTACGTAAAAGAATAAGTCGATCGAGATATCTTGGTCATCCGAGAAGTTTAAAAAGCTCATCGCGTCCACGAGAGTAATCGAGGTGTAACTCCGAGACACAAGTCTCGAAACGTTGCAAAGAAGCATAGGTAGTAAAATTTTCTCGAGCCTTTTTTTTTTGGTGCACGCATTCGTTCGCATGTTTGCATTTCTGCCTATGCATCGATTGCGCGTTTTATCGCAACACACGCACGCAACGCGGATATGCAGAAGACATTTTTAGGATTATATATTTTTGCTGTACGCGATTATAAACGTGCGCGACGAAGCGTGTATCTTTTTTTGCAATGCTTTATCTAATTGAAAAAACGCCGTAGCCGATATAAAATTAGCTCGCGGATAATGGCATGCACAAATTGCGACAAGCCAGAGTAAAGGTATTTAAAATGAAAGTACGCTGCAGCCGAGACTTCGATCGTTTATACTGTATATACTGCTACTTCATATGTCATTCACCTGTAATCGGCATTAAAAATAAAAAATACCGAGATTAATATTCGAGAGGAGAGTGGAAAATATTTTTCACACTTTGTTTTTTTTTTCTTTCGAGGCTTACAACTAGCGCACACCATTTTTGATTTATCGTCGTTGCTTCTTGCAGAATGACGTTCACGGACGCGGCTAATAATGGCAACGGCAACAACAAAGCCGAGCAGAAGCCGGTGTCGAGACTCAAGGAGGCCGTGCCGCAATTCTTCGCCGTGGGCGCAAAGAATCTGCTGCTGCTCACGTTCGGCAGCAGTCTGGGCTTCCCGACGATCCTCATACCCGAGCTGCAGAAGCCGAATCCACCGGTGCCCGTCACCCTCGACGAGCTCACCTGGATAAGTTGGTGTTTCGATTTTTTCTAATGATTTTTTTTTTTTTACTTTACACAAAGCCGGCTTATAACGTTTTACGTAACTCTCGATATTATAAACGGGCTTTATCATATATAGGACTCTCCATTAATACATTTTCTCTCGATCGCTCTAATAAGATGGAAAATTTGAAATCTCGATGGCATTATTGAAACCGGTTCCAATATTTTCTCGCCACTACAGGCAGCATCAATCTGTTCCTCGTGCCACTGGGCGGTTTCGTCAGCGGCCTCGTCTCGCAGCGTCTGGGCCGTCGCAAGACCATGATGCTCGCCACCTTCCCGTTCGTCGCCGCCTGGTTCATCTTCCATTACGCCCAGAGCGCCAAGACCCTCTGCCTGGCCCAAGCCGTCACGGGTCTGACGGGCGGCCTGCTCGAGGCGCCCGTGCTGACCTACGTCGCGGAGGTCACCCAGCCCCATCTGCGCGGACTGCTGTCGGCCACCTCGACGATGGCCGTCATCATCGGCATATTCACGCAGATGCTCACGGGCAGTCTGGTGGACTGGAGGACGCTGGCGCTGATCAATCTCGTCTATCCGGCCATATGCTTCTGCGCCCTGTATCTCGTGCCCGAGAGTCCGGTTTGGCTCGCAGGTTGGTTATTAATTTGCTTTACTTTGTGTGTATAAATATTATACAATACCGATGCACATAGGTTCGATCGAAACTGTTCGAGTGTCGTATTGCATTCGTACGATAATAGGCAGGAGCTTATCGATAATGCGATTACGCCGTCTAGGCATGTGTATATCGTACCAATTATAGCTTTTGCGGAGATTTATGCATTTCTCTCTCTCTCATACTGCGTTGTATTACTTCGAACGTTGGTATCGAGCGAATTTTTCGGAATTTTTCAAGCCGCGCAACTCGAGTATAGCCGGTCGTCTCTCTCCCACTCGAGGATTATTTATAGCGCCTATATATTGCGTTAACAAAAAATTTATATCGATATACGATCATTTTTTTTTTTTAATTTTTAATTTTCTTAAGCGAGTGAGTCGTGAAAATTATAATCTTTTACAACCGCGCTCGAGATATAATAAGTGCGCGAGTTAACGACCCAGAGACAGATAGAAGATTTAAAACACACGTATATGGCGCGTGCTCGCATCGACGATGATAAAGAGCAGCTAAGTATTGTTCGTTAAAAAAAAGAAGCGAGCTTGCGGTTCTATATACGCACATTTTGAGCGAGCGCATCAATCAAATTTTAGCAGATTTGTTAATTTTCTGTTGTACAAAAGCTTTTGATTCGCAAAAAAGGTGGCTAGTTAAGAATTTCTTCGTGTGAGAGCGTAAGCTGGACGCTTTTAAAGCGTAATTTTTTTGCTAGTAATTTGTTACGAATATTATAAACTTAAGAGCGCGTGTAAGGATAAAAACATTGAAGCAGAGAAAAAAAAATAAATTTCAGCAAATTAAAAAAATTTATTCATTTATTTGAATCATGAATGCCATATAAACTTTGAAACATGCAATAATCGCCACACACCACACATCAGAAGAGTCCTGCAAATATATATTCATCATGAGTTTTCGTCCGTGGCCGCCAAGCAAACACGCCACAAATCCTCGTTCTGCAGCTTCTCAATGATTTTGTCACAGCAGAGAATCGGCAGCTTGTAGTTTGTCAACTCCAAAAGTGGATCCAGTGTCCACTTCTTGAAAAATCTTCTTGGTAGCAGCTCGCACAAATACGTACCACACGCACCGCGATAAGTTTCAGAAAACTTGTAATGTTTATTCGATCTTACGAAATCATACATCTCAGTATAGGTGATTAATTTTTCCGCCGTCTCTGGTCGCAACGAAATCATGTCGTAGAAGGACAGGTTTGGCTTTACCATAATTTCTTTAGATTCTTTCACGAATTCCTCGTCGTTATACCAACTTTCATCAAGATTCGCTGGCCTTTTGAAAAGATCGTGCTTATGAAATGCGTTCATGATCGTTATGGCGCCGCTTCGATCCAGCTCGTATCCTTTCCTTTTCAAGTGCTCGACGACGGACAGAGTATCAGACGCAAATTGGAACGCAGTCCAATTATACACAAGTTTCAATTCCTCGTCGAAGTGACCCACGGTGGGAAAAGTGAAGCTCGACAGATCGGCCCCGTGATCCAAGAGAACATCGATCGTATCCAGTAAGAAATTCGACGCGGCCCATTGAAGGGGCGTATGGCCCGACTTGTCCACAGCGTCGACCTGCACCGTCTTTTGAACGTCATCGACGATCTCGAAGAATAACTTCATCAAGCCGTCGTCCTCGTCTCTCTTGGAAATAATGTGGAGAGGAGTCGATCCTTCCTCGTTGGCCAAATTAGGATCGGCTCCGTTTTTCAGCAGCACCTCGATCATACCTTCGTCTATACAACACAGAGCCCAGTGTAGCGGAGTGTTGCCTTCCTTGTCTCGAGCGTCGATCAACAGCGTCTGTCCGATTTCGTCGTTGACCTCGAAGAATACCTCCATCAAGCCGTCATCGTCATCATGTCCTCTTTCGGAAATAATGTGGAGAGGAGTCAATCCTGCCTCGTTGGCTAAGTTCGGATCGGCGCCTCTTCTCAGTAGCAACTCGATCAAGTAGCTGTCGCCTTCCTCCAGTGCACGGTATAATGGTGTCTTACCCCAATGGTCTTGGCTATTGACCCGCACCGTCAGATTTTCATCGTCACAGATCTTGAAGAATAAATCCGCCAATTTGTAGCCATGAATTCCATTCATGGCAATGACGTGCAGAGGAATCCTTCCATGACCAGTGGCTAGATTCGGATCCGCGCCGTTTTTCAGCAGCAGTTCGACCACATTTCTGTGGTCCCCTTCCAGAGCCACGTGAAGCGGCGGAATAACTGCTTCTAAGTCCACAGCTGATTTTTGCGTGAGGATATTTGGATCCTGCCCGAGCTCGAGAAATTTCTGGACGATATCGTCAAAGCCATACTTACAGGCCGCGTGGAAATGTGTACAGCCCATCTCGTCGATGTAATTAACATCGAACCTGTCGTATATTTCAAAAAGTTTACGGACGAGGCTCTTATTGTAAAATTCATAAGGTACATGATGCAGTGGTGTGCTGCGATTCAACAATGGCTTGCCGTCTTCATCCATCTCGAGCTCGTCTTTGTAGCCGGATTTCATCACGAAATTGATCACATCTTCGTCCTCTACACACTTTAAGAGAAGCCAATCCATTTCTTTGGGACGGAGAATCTTTCGAAAATTTGGATATTGTCCCTCCCAATCGCTGATTAACGAATGAATTTTAGGGACAAAATCATCTTCATCTTTTTTCATATCCTGAATGACCATATCACGCATACTCTTGAGCTTTTCCAAGTTTGAGATGATCCTTTTATGATTCACAATTTCTAAATCAAAGTCGTACTGACCGTTGGCACCGCCATTGCCGCCGTACACGTCGAATTTTTCACTGGACATCATTTTGCGTCTTTATACATACACAACTAACGGTTACTAATAAGATATGAAATATTTTTCACTCGACGCGGTCTTTTCTTCTTTCTTTTGATGTTTACGCTTCGGCGTCTTAACGTGATTTGAGAGTTGAGACTTGTTTTCACATGATTTATTCGCTACAATGCGTGTGGCGCTTCTTCTCAATACCCAACGTGGGTACAGAAGTTTCCCCCAAAAATTTAACTCTAGCCTCACAGTATAAATTTACGAAAGTTTTAAATTAAAGGAATGTATGTTGTAGCTACATCGATTACAATTTCTTTTGCAACCATTCGATCATTTGAAAATATCGAAATGCTATTGTGTTAGCAAAAAATTAACATTGATATACGATTATTTTATTATTTTTAATTTTTAATTTTCTTAAGCGAGTGAGTCCTGAAAACGATAATCTTTTACAACCACGTTCGAGGTATAATAAGTGCGCGAGTTAACGACCCAAAGACAGAAGATTTAAAACACACGTATATATGGCGCGTGCTCGCATCGACGATGATAAAAAAAGCCAATTTTCGGTCCTTTACACGCACGTAAATATGTCCTCGAGCGAGCGCATCAATCAAACTTTAGCCGATTGGTTCATTCCCAACCTCTTATGATTATTGCTGTGGTATAAGAGCTCTCGATTCGCAAAGAAGTTGGCAAGTTGAGAATTTCTTTCGCGCGCGTGAGAGCGTAAGATATACGCTTCTGATGCGATACTCTTTTTACTATAGAAAATTGGTGTGAATATTATATACTTAAAATTACGTACGAGGGAAAAAATTGAAACAAACAAAATCATTTAAATTAGAGCAAAGTAAAAAAATGTATTTATTGATTTTAATTACGAATTCCATGAAAAATTTGAAAAATGTATTACCGCAAATATATATTCATCATGAGTGTTCTTCCGCGGCCGCCGTGCAAATACGCCACAAATACTCGTTAGGTAGATGATCGATGATTTCACTGCATAGAATCGGCAGCTTGTGGCGCGTCAGCTCCAAGAGAGAATCCAGTGCCCATCGTCGGCAGAATTTATTCGATATCGTCTCGCTTAGATGCATGGCGCAAACCTTTTTATGAGTTTCTTCCATGTGCAGATCGAGGAATTTGAGCCAGAACTCCCTGCAGTTCCAGAAATCGGCATAAGTTATTCGTTTCGCCGCCTCATCGGGTCGCAACTGGATCAGGTCGTGGAGCGACAGGTTCGGATCATCGTCTTTCATCTTCATTTTTTTCGCTTGGATCGCGAACTCTTCGTCGCTATGCAAATCTTGAACGCGATCCGTGGAATATTCCAACACTCCGTGCTCAGCGAAAAATTTCATAATTGTCAGGGCGTCGTTTCGGCCCAGCTTGTATCCTCTTTTCTCAAGACGTTCAACGATGACCAGAACAACAGACGCTAGTACAAATTTAAAATTATTGTCAGCAATGAACAATCCTTCGCCAAAATAAGTTTCATCAGGGAAAACGAAATTCGACAGGTCCGCGCCATTAACCAACAGTACATCGACAAATTCTGGCAAGAGTCTTGCTACGGCACGTTGAAGCGGTGTCCTACCCATCTTATCCTGGGCGTCGACCAGCACCGTCTTTCCGAGTTCTTTGTTGACCTCGAAGAACCACTCTGCCGCATCGTAATCTTCCTCCTTACAAAGCATGTGCAGAGCAGTCGATCCATCAGCAGTGGCTAGATTCGGATCCGCGCCGTTTTTCAGCAGCAATTCAACCACCTTTCTCTGGTTCAATTCCAGGGCTAAGTGAAGCGGAGACATAACTAGGATTAATTCTACTCCTTCATCTGATTCTTCATATTCTTCTTTCTCATCATCTTCTCCTTCTTTATCTTCTTCGTCTTCGCCTATTTGTCTCTCAACTGATATTGGCGCGAGAATATTCGGGTTCTGTCCGAGCTCGAGGAATTTCTGGACGATATCGTCCAAGCCATACTCACAGGCCACGTGGAAATGTGTATAGCCGATCTCGTCGATGTAATTAACATCGAACCTGTCGTATATTTCAAAAAGTTTACGGACGCGGCGGCTGTTAGCGTACAATTTATTAGCTGCATGATGCAGTGGTGTGGTGCGATTCAACAATGGCTTGCCGTCTTCATCCATCTCGGGCTCGTCTTTGTAGCCGGATTTTATCACAAAACTGATGACATCTTCGTCCATTACACACTTTCTGAGAAGCCAATCCATTTCTTTGGGACGGAGAATCTTTCGAAAAATTGGATATTGTCCCTCCCAATCGCTGATTAACGAATGAATTTTAGGGACAAAATCATCTTCATCTTTTTTCATATCCTGAACGACCATTTCGCGCATACTCTTGAATTTTTCCAAGTTTGAGATGATCTTTTTATAATTCACAATTTCTAAATCAAAGTCGTACTGGCCTTCGGCACCACCAACCCGAATTTTTCACTGGACCTTATTTTAAGTATTTATAAAAACAACGCACAATCACTTACAAAATATGAAATATGTTTAACTTGTCGCAGTCAATGGGCGATTCTCTTTTGTCGTTCACGCAACTGCGGCGTCGTAACGTAAACTGAGACTACCGAGTACCGACTAGACCTTACAAGGTCTTTTCGCATCTGCATGCGCATGGAGGGGATTGCGGCGCTGGCATCGACGTGCTCTTCCGGAAATTGATTCAAAAAATGCTACCGACGGCCACTGAACTAAAATTTACAACTTATAAAAAATAAAAAGAAAATAACGCGGAATTGTTAAAACTATGGGCGCCACGGGGCACGGGTTATGCAGGTAGTTAATAATATAGAGTACCTACATAAATGGGCTACGAAAGAAACAAAAAGCGCGAGCTATGCAGAGTAACTACAAGTTTGAGCGAGCGACTCGTGCACGAACTCGCACGCAGCACATAAGCGAGGCAAGCGAGCGAAAATGCGACGGAGATACACGACGCCACACATAGACGTTACAAAGTCGTCCAACGATTACTTTCTTTTTATTTGCAACTTTCATTCGAAATCATTGAAAAAAATACAACCAACCCATTCGAATCCTCTCACGTAACCCCCCCTCCGTCGTTTTTATAGGCAAGGGCCGCCTCGACGAGGCCGAAAAAGCCCTCTGCTGGCTCCGCGGCTGGGTCACGCCGGCGCACGTCGAGGCCGAGTTTCGCGAGCTCTGCCTGAATCTCAACAAGCCCGTGCAGATCCAGCAGGTGGCGACCATCGACTCGCTTCGCGACGGATCCGCCGTCGACGTCAAGGATCCCTCGTCGGCCACGACGGAGCCAAAAGCGCCGCCGGCCAAGTGGCGTCCGTATCTGCGCCGCAGCTTTCTGCTGCCGTTCTCGCTGGTCGCGCTGGCCTTCTTCATCAACGCCTTCGGCGGCATAGCCGTGCTGCAGGTGTTCGCCGTGAGCATACTGGTGGATCTCAAGACTCCGATCGACAAGTGAGTTATATTTTATTATATATTCGAAGGAATACCGTGTAATTTGTTTTTTTTTTTTCGTGCGCAGATACCACGCCACGGTGATCGTCGGTATAGCCCAAGTCCTCGGCACCCTCATCTGCGTCTTCGTCATACACTTCACGGGCAAGCGCAAGATCTCGTTCGTCTCGGTGTTCGGCACCGGCGCGGCCTGGCTCCTCATCTCCGTCTACGGCTATCTGCTCATGTACGAGCGCATCGACGATCAGCGCCACCGCTGGATGCCCACCGCGCTCATCGTCGTCACGGCCTTCTTCTCGCACGTCGCCCTCAAGACCCTGCCGTGGATTCTGGCCGGCGAGGTGTTCGCCCCGGACGTGCGCAGCTGCGCCTCGGGCTCCGCAGGCTCCATCGGCTACATCTTCTCCTCGATCGCCAACAAGCTGTATCTGTACATGAAGCAGGACATGACGCTGCCCGGCACATTTCTCTTCTACGCGGCGGTGAATTTTTTGGGATTGGTGGGGCTGTACTACATGCTGCCCGAGACCGAGGGCAGGACGCTGAAGGAGATCGAGGATCACTTCGCGGGCGTGCAGAAGCTGAGGAGCAAGCCCAAGAAGGGACAGGAGGTGTTCAAGGAGAAGTGGGCCATGTCGAATCCGCAGGCAGTCAGGGACGACTTCGAGAGCTGCAGATTGTAGCGCTGCCCTAGATATATATACTCGTGTATATATATGTACTTTTTCTCACACACACACAAACACACAAATTGTTTTACCGAAAAACTCGTCGATACGCACCGCCGATTATGCAATTGAGACAATTTTTGAATAACTCGTCGGGTCACGCTATTTATACACACTTACGCTGTGCATATATACCTCTTGTTTTTCATTTTTTAATTTTTAATTCGCGAGAGATTTTCGATATCCGTTCGAAATACGATAAAAATAGTTTTCGCGAGAACGAAGTAAGGGCAGAAACTTTTTGTATCGATCGTCAATTCGATGTGAACGGATTTTTAACGCACTGTTTTTTTTTACTGCATAAATACGAGCATTAGTTTAGAATTAGTTAGATTTTTAAGTAATTTAATGGATCGCCTTGAATGCGATTGAAACATTGTAAAAGTGAAACCAGTGTACGATTGGATATTTTCAAGCATCGACCGTGTGTTTTTATTGAATAATAATCATTCGGAAAGTTCTACGGCGTCCTTTGTTACATTGTTTTTGGATCGTTGTAGAATCGCGCGCGAAAAAAATATCGATAAGAATTCCAGCGAGCATCGCTTGAAATTATCCATCTTTTAGTCTTTTAAGTAATTAGTTTTCCAGTAGCAGATAAGATGAAACTCAACGAGCGATTGTAATTCATCGGTCAATTTTAACGTTTCTTTTTAATCAATTGTAAAATAAAGAAGCGTTTTGTACGGTTCTAATCACACGATTTGAAGTTACAAGTGCAAACATTTTTTAAGATCAATCTATTTACAAAATGAAATTGTGTAAATAAAGTATTTTTTTTATCGACAATCGAGTGATGAATTCATTCAACATTTCCAAGGGGCTCAGAATAATTTGTTACATAATGAGAAATTAAACGAGTCAATTATTTCAAAATATTTTTAATGATAACATTAGAAAATGAATTATAAGGCAAACGTATTGCTACATTGAATCTGTATTTATAAAGACAGTAATTCACTTTGGCTAAAATTAAAGATTAATTTTTAACTCTTTATTATTATTTAATAACTACTTGCAATTAATTTTTAATATTTTTTAACATAAACTTCAAACGAATCAAACATATTACAGCTACTATTTTATTACTGGGTCTTGCACATAAAGCCAGTTTGATGTTGATGATTTGAATGACTAGGCTTGTGTTTACGGCTTTTCTCCGTCACCGCCAGACAAATGTTCCACAAGTCCTTGGCCCGCAGCGGCCCGATGATCTTCTCGCAGCAGAGAACCGGCAACCGGTAGCGCGTCAGTGCCAGGAAAAAGTCCAGAGCCCATCGGCGCAGAAACGCCCCCAAGGCCGTCTGGCACAGGTAGGCGACGCAGTCCGGATGAGTACCGGCATTATCGTCCTCGCAGTCGAGCGTCACCTGGAACGCGAACCACTCGTCGAAGTCTTCGAGCGCGAACACCTTCTCGGCCTTGTCGGCCGGCAGGGGCAAGCGCCGCGACCGGAGCGACAGACCCGCGGCCGCCAGCTGCTTCTTCACGAGGCTCGCGAAATCCTCGTTGCGGCGCAGACACTCGGCGAAATTCACCTTCCGGTCCATCAGTCCGTGCTCGGCGAACTTTCTCGCGATCTTCAGGCTGTCGCCCTGGTCCAGCTTGCGTATCCGCTTCTCCACCTGGTGGATGACTCTCAGCGCGTAGAACGACGCATTCGGCATGAATCTGGTCCCGTAGTTGTCGATCAGCAAATCGTAAAAGGTGACGAAATCCTCGGTTGGGAAAGCGAAGCCGGACACGTCGGCGCCGCGATTCAGTACTATGTCGACCACACCCGGTATGATTCTCGCCACGGCCCACTGAAGCGGCGTGCGACCCGAATTGTCCCGGGCGTTGACGCGCACCGCCTGCTGTTTACGATCACCGTCGCTCCTCGTCGTCTCGAACAACGCGGTCGCCAATTTCACGGCCCACTCGTGCTGATGCTGTCGCACGGCTTTCCTCTTGCAGACGACGTGCAGAGGCGTCGAGCCCTCGCCGTTGGCCAAGTTGCGATCGGCGCCTCGCTTCAGCAGCAGCTCGACCTTGTCCAGGTAGCCGTGCTCCAGCGCCAGGTGCAGCGGGCCGTTGCCCGCCTCGTCCTGCGCGTTCACGCGCACCGGCCGACGTTTCAGGTCGCATATCTTGAAGACGAGCTCCATCAAGCCGTCGTCGTGGTCGGGTTCGCGATCGCACGAGAACATCATGTTCAGCAAGCTGCGAACTTGCTCTTGCTGGCAGACGACGTGCAGCGCGGTGGATCCGTGCTCGTTGGCCAGGCCGGGATCGGCGCCGCAACGCAGCAGTAGCTCGGCCACCTCGCCGAGGCCGTTCTTCAGAGCCAGATGAAGCGGCGTGTCGCCGTTGCCGTCCTGGGCGTCGACTCGCAGCGGCTGGTATCTCTCGGCGCAGTGCTTCATTATCGCCCGCAACGAGCCGTGCGCGTCGTCCTTGTCCTTGCAGGCCACGTGCAGAGCCGTCGTTCCGTGCTCGTTGGCCACGTACGGACTCGCGCCGTTTTTCAGCAGGAACACGGCCTCCTTTCGGTAGTCCTCTCCTTTCTTCAGAATCACGTGAAGCGGTGTATTGCCGCACTCGTCTTGAGCGTCGACCAGCACCTTTTTATTTTTGCGCTTCTGTATTTCGAAGAGTTTTTCCATCATCTCGATATCGTACTTTTCACAAATGACGTGCAAAGCCGTCGATCCTCTCGTTCCGGCTAGATTCGGATCCGCCCCGTTTTCCAGTAGCAGTTCGAAAATCTTCAAGTGTTTGTTCTTCAAGGCCAGGTGAAGCGGCGGATCGACCTTCGAGCTCGCGTTACGGCAATTCGGATCCAGGCCGTGCTCGAGGAATTTTTTAACGATGCCCACGCAGCCGTACTCGCAGGCCACGTGGAAGTGCGTCAAGCCGGACTCGTCGTCCACGTAGTTCGCGTCGAATCTGTCGTAAATGCGAAAGAGCCGCGTGACGTAGTACTTCCAGTCCCAGCCGACCGCGCGATGCACCGGTGTGGTGCGCCGCAGCAGCTGCGGCTTTCCCGCTTCGTCGAGCTTGGGCTCGTCCTTGTAGCCGGTCTTGATCAAGAACTCGACGAGCGGATCCGGCTCGAACACGTTGTCCGACGAATTCGCGCACTCGGTGAGTAGATACTCGATCTCGTTCTCGTCGAAGATGTCACGGAGATTCGGCAATGGGCCCTCCCAATCATCGATCAGAGAATAAAACTGCTCGAAGAATTCGCGTCGCTCGTTGCCGATGTCCCAATCGAGCGTTGCACGCAGAAGTTGCAATTTTTTGAAACACTTTTGGTCGTCCTCGGCCATCGTCGATATGCACTTTCGCACTTGAACACGTCGAAGAAAGAGTTACGTAATATTTTCACTCGTCACGAAGATCGCTGGCTGCAGTGGATGTTATCGTTCTTTGTTTGCAACTGCGGCGTCGTAACGTACACTGATGACCGATGACTGAACTGCACACGACTTGAAGCGCGACGCAACACTGCCCGTGTACGGACCGCAACCGACGATACAACGTTCGCATATGTGGCCGCCATGCGCTCTGCGTGCCATAAACTCGCGATACTCGTTCGTCGCTGTGATTGGACGACGTTCTCGCAGTGCCGAGATTCTGCTCGCTCGCTTGATGCGTCTTTGTAACGGCTACACATGTGCCTACGAAGTAGCGTCGTAACATTCTGTATCGTTCGAACTGGTCTAATTCGTATAAATAAGCGATTCGAGTCGACGGACGTTGTTCGCACAAACGATATCGCTCTAAGCGTGAAAAGACACTCGCGCTTCTCGTGACTTTCACAGGTCGTTGCACGTATTTTTTTATAGATCGTACAGTTTCAATCGATGGTCAATTGTTAGTATATAATAAGTTAAGACGCCACAGCGTATAAACGACAAAAGAGAATCTCCCATCGACTGCGAAAAGTGAAAATTATTTCCGTCTTGTGTGTTGTGTTAAGTGCAATTGCGAAAAATGATATCTGACGACGAGTTCGACGTGTACGGCGGCAATGGCGGCGTCGGAGATCAGTACGACTTTGATCTCGAAATTTCGAATCATAAAAAGATCATCTCAAACTTGGAAAAGCTCAAGAGTATGCGTGATATGGTCATTCAAGATATGAAAAAAAATGAAAATGATTTTGTCCCTAAAATTCATTTGTTAATCAACAATTGGGAGGGTCAATATCCGAATTTACGAAAGATGTTCCGTCCCAAAGAAATGGAGTGGTTTCTCAAATTTTGGTATTTTGACGATGTGATCAATTTCGTGGTAAAATCCGGCTACAAAGACGAGCCCGAGATGGATGAAGACGGCAAGCCACTGTTAAATCGCAGCACACCACTGCATTATGTAGCTAATGAATTTTACAATAACAGCCGCGTCCGTAAACTTTTTGAAATATACGACAGGTTCGATGTTAATTACATCGACGAGTTTGGCTATACACATTTCCACGTGGCCTGCCACTGTGGCTTGGACGATATCGTTCAAAAATTTCTCGAGCTCGGGCAGGATCCAAATATCCTCGCGCCAAAATCAATTGAGGACAAAAAAGAAGGAAGAACAGTTGATCCACCATTTTACTTGGCTCTGGAAAGGCACCAGAGAAAGGTGGTTGAATTGCTGCTAAAAAACGGCGCGGATCCGAATCTAGCCGCTGCTGATGGATCGACTCCTCTGCACATGCTTTGTGAGAAGGAAGATTACCATGCGGCGGTGTGGTTCTTCAAGGTCAACAAAGAACTCGGAAAGACGGTGCTGGTCGACGCCCAGGATAAGATGGGTAGGACACCGCTTCAACGTGCCGTAGCGAGACTCTTGCCAGAATTTGTCGATGTACTGTTGGTTAATGGCGCGGACCTGTCGAATTTCGTTTTCCCTGATGAAACTTATTTTGGCGAAGGATTGTTCATTGCTGACAATAATTTTAAATTTGTACTAGCGTCTGTTGTTCTGGTCATCGTTGAACGTCTTGAGAAAAGAGGATACAAGCTGGGCCGAAACGACGCCCTGACAATTATGAAATTTTTCGCTGAGCACGGAGTGTTGGAATATTCCACGGATCGCGTTCAAGATTTGCATAGCGACGAAGAGTTCGCGATCCAAGCGAAAGAAATGAAGATGAAAGACGATGATCCGAACCTGTCGCTCCACGATCTGATCCAGTTGCGACCCGATGAGGCGGCGAAACGAATCACTTGTGCCGATATAATGGATTTCCCACTTGCCCAGCTGCCCATCGAAGAAACTCATAAAAAGGTTTGCTCCATGCATCTAAGCGAGGCGATATCGAGGAGATTCTGCCGACGATGGGCACTGGATCCACTTTTGGAGTTGACAAACTACAAGCTGCCGATTCTCTGCTGTGACAAAATCATTGAGAAGCTGCAGAACGAGGATTTGTGGCGTATTTGCTCGGCGGCCGCGGAAGAAAACTCATGATGAATATATATTTGCAGGTTTACATTTGTCAAATTTCTCATGGCATTCATGATTAAAATAAATAAATACATTTTTTTAATTTGCTGAAATTTAATTTTTTTCTATTTCAATATTTTTATCCTTACACGAGCTCTTAAGTCTATAATATTCGCAACAAATTACTAGCAAAACAATTACGTTTTAAAAGCGTCCATCTTATGCTCTCACACAAAGAAATTCTCAACTAGCCAACTTTTTTGCGAATCGAAAGCTTTTGTACAACAGAAAATTAACAAATCTGCTCAAATTTGATTGATGCGCTCGCTCAAAATGTGCGTATATAGAACCGCAAGCTCGCTTCTTTTTTTTAACGAACAATACTTAGCTGCTCTTTATCATCGTCGATGCGAGCACGCGCCATATACGTGTGTTTAAAATCTTCTATCTGTCTCTGGGTCGTTAACTCGCGCACTTATTATATCTCGAGCGCGGTTGTAAAAGATTATAATTTTCACGACTCTCTCGCGTAAGAAAATTAAAAATTAAAAATAAAAAAATGATTACATATCGATATAAATTTTTTGCTAACACAATAGCATTTCAATATTTTTAAATGATCGAATGGTTGCAAAAGAAATTGTAATCGATGTAGCTACAACATACATTTCTTTAATTTAATACTTTCGTAAATTTATACTGTGAGACTACAGTTAAATTTTTTGGGGGAAACTTCTGTACCCACGTTGGGTATTGAGAAGAAGCGCCACACGCATTGTAGCGAGTAAGTCATGTGAAAACAAGTCTCAATTCACGTTAAGACGCCGAAGCGTAAACATCAAAGGAAAGCTTTCATCGACCGCGACAAGTGAAAAATATTTCATATCTTATTAGTGACCGTTTGTTGTGTACGTGTAAAGGCGCAAAATGATGTCCAGTGAAAAATTCGACGTGAACGGCATCGGAGATCAGTACGACTTTGATTTAGAAATTGTGAATCAAAAAAAGATCATCTCAAACTTGGAAAAGCTCAAGAGTATGCGTGATATGGTCATTCAGGATATGAAAAAAGATGAAGATGATTTTGTCCCTAAAATTCATTCGTTCATCAGCGATTGGGAGGGACAATATCCAATTTTTCGAAAGATTCTCCGTCCCAAAGAAATGGATTGGCTTCTCAGAAAGTGTGTAATGGACGAAGATGTCATCAGTTTTGTGATAAAATCCGGCTACAAAGACGAGCTCGAGATGGATGAAGACGGCAAGCCATTGTTGAATCGCAGCACACCACTGCATCATGTACCTTATGAATTTTACAATAAGAGCCTCGTCCGTAAACTTTTTGAAATATACGACAGGTTCGATGTTAATTACATCGACGAGTTCGGCTGTACACATTTCCACGCGGCCTGCCAGTATGGCTTTGACGATATCGTCCAGAAATTCCTCGAGCTCGGACAGGATCCAAATATTCTCCCGCCAAAATCAGCTGTGGACTATAAAGGAGATCCAGTTATTCCGCCGCTTCACTTGGCTCTGGAAGGGGACCACAGAAATGTGGTCGAACTGCTGCTGAAAAACGGCGCGGATCCGAATCTAGCCACTGCTTATGGATCGATTCCTCTGCACGTCATTGCCATGAGTGGAATTTATGGCTACGAATTGGCGGATTTATTCTTCAAGATCTGTGACGATGAAAATCTGACGGTGCGGGTCAATAGCCAAGACAATTGGGGTTACACACCATTACACCGGGCACTGGAGGACGGCGACAGCTACTTGATCGAGTTGCTACTGAGAAGAGGCGCCGATCCGAGCTTAGTTAACGAGAACGGACGGACTCCTCTCCACATTATTTCCCACAGAGGATATGATGAAGACTTGATGGAGGTATTTTTCGAGCTCAACGACAAAATCGGACAGACTGTATTGATCGACGCTCGAGACAAGGAAGGCAACACTCCGCTACACTTGGCTCTATCTTGTGGTCACAAAGACACGTTCAAGTTGCTGCTGCGAAGAGACGCTAATCCTCATTTAGTCAACGAGGAAGGATCGACTCCTCTCCACATTATTTCCAAGAGAAAAAGGGACGACGGCTCGATGAAGTTATTCTTCGAGATCATCGATGACGTCCGGAAGACGGTGAAGGTCGACGCTGTGGACAAGTCGGGCCATACACCCCTTCAATGGGCCGTGGCGAATTTCTTACTGGATACCATCGATGTTCTCTTGGATCATGGGGCCGATCTGTCGAGCTTCGCTTTTCCCACCGTGGGTCACTTCGACGAGGAATTGAAACTTGGATATCATAGGTCTGAGTTCCAATTTGCGTCTGATACTATGTCCGTCGTCGAGCACTTGAAAAAGAAAGGATACGAGCTGGACCGAAGCGGCGCCATAACGATCATGAACGCATTTCATAAGCACGATCTTTTCAAAAGGCCGGCGAATCTTGACGAAAGTTGGTATAACGACGAGGAATTCGTGAAAGAAGCCAAAGAAATTATGGTAAAGCCAAACCTATCCTTCTACGACATGATTTCGTTGCGACCAGAGACGGCGGAAAAATTAATCACCTCTACTGAGATGTATGATTTCGTAGAATCGAATAAATATTACAAGTTTTCTGAAACTTATCGCGATGCGTGTGGTACGTATTTGTGCGAGCTGCTACCAAGAAGATTTTTCAAGAAGTGGGCACTGGATCCACTTTTGGAGTTGACAAACTACAAGCTGCCGATTCTCTGCTGTGACAAAATCATTGAGAAGCTGCAGAACGAGGATTTGTGGCGTGTTTGCTTGGCAGCTGCAACCCAAAACTAGTACTGTCGATAAACATATTTTCAGTATTTTCGTTGTGTCTGTTATTCGATATTATGTGCGATTCAAATGAATAAACTTATAAATAGTATTTGATTCTATATAAATTTTCTGTCATTTTTTCACTAATCTTTCTTGATTACAAGGACAGAAACATATTGATAATAGAATAACAAATCTGTATATAAATCACTATATATATACCCTCCTCAACTTGGAGCATACATGAAAATACGAATCAACAAGTGCGTCTCGTTACGGATAATTCTCATCGCGCGCGGGGAAAACGATCAGCCACCCGCGCCACGCACATTTATATATGCATATTATAACGCGGCGTCGTTTATCCAGGGGAAACGCGCGACGGGTATAACGAATCTCCTTCGCCGTCGTCGTTGTTATTATTATTGCTGTTTACGCGTATACCTATGCCAGGTGTCACAAGCTTGTAAAGCGGCAGCTTGCTTGACCCTGACACGCACGATATGACGCACTCTCGCCGCGCGTAACTCAAGCTTAAACTCGAGAATTCATCCGTTGCGCATAATATCATATATATACGTAGGTATACACAATGCACGCACGCATGCTCATTAGGCGCGCGTGTCCACCGCCGCCCGCACTCGAGGAAAAACGGATCGCAACGGCGCGCGAGCTATTTCAATTTCAATTTTACATATAGTATATGTATATAATATACACACGCGCGCGATTGAGGCTGCAGGTGGCAATTTCGTACGTGTATATATACCTGCGCACAGTGCACACGTATTGTACGTAGTTTAAAAGTACACGGATGCAAATTGCAAAGCGGTGGTTGGCAGCGCCGGGCGTCTATCGATGCTGCATATAGTATATACGCAACGACTCGCGCGACGACACTCGATACTGTGGCGCGACGCAGGTTCCGGCGAGCGCAGGCGCTAGCAGCAGCTTTTGCCGAGCTTTATCTCTACGTATACATATATACGTTCTCTCTTCGCCCTCCACCCGCACACAGTAGACACGAATGTATACAGTATATATAGAGCGCCAAACGCAAAAGCCACCACCGACTACGCTTCCCTCTCTCCCCCTCGTCTCTCCTATATACGCGACTGTCTTACTCGCTCTCTCTCGCAAGCTTTCGTGCGCGAGCTTTCGCTTCGTTGAGGGCGCGAAGAAGGGAGCCTAGAGAGTAGTAGTAGTAGCAGTAGTATATGGTCGATATTCCAGCAGCAGCAGCAGCAGCGCTAACAGTAACGTACGGTAGGGGCCGCCGAGTGGAGTTTATATACGCGTTGTGTATATATACTAGGAAAACGAGCGAGCGAGAGAGAGAAATAGAAATACACACGTTGCCGTCACCCGCCGCACACCGTCGTCGTCGTCGTCTCTCTCTCTCCTCGCGGCAGTCGTCGTCGTCGTCGTCGATTCAGTGATCGTCCACTGTTGCTCCTGTCGTGTACGGTCGAGGTAGTTCCTCGTTCGACTCGTATAAGTAGTACGCGCCCATCTCTCTCCGATAATTTTCGGAGGGATTCGCGAGTGTCTGTGTACGTGTGTGTGTGTGTCTGTGTAAACGGGGGCTTATTCTCACCCTCGTACACATACACATATATAACTGTGCGTGGGTGCGAGGAAGATCGTCAGTGTGTGTGCGTGCCTTGTGCGTCGATGGTCGACTGGTCGACTCTTTGATTGCCACACCGATTATAATAATAATTCGTGCGACACAGATACGGAGAGCACGCGAAATAACGAGGGAGGAGGACTCGACAATTATAATCCATTCGTATTATTATCGTCGCACGAGTGTCCTGTGAGTGACGACTGCAGCAGCAGCACGGCAAGGTATATAAATACATACATACGTATACGTGCGATACACCCGCGCACCTAATTTAACGACCGAGAGAGCAAGAAGAGAGAGAGAACGACCGATCGATACGACCTATTTTTGCAAAACAAAAAAATAATAATAATAAAACACCTAGTACTCTTCGGATCATTATTTTCCTTCCCCTTTTTTTTATATCGTTTAAAAAGCCTCGGCAGCTGTTCGCGATCAACCTCAAAAACTACGCACACAGACACACACACACAGACGCACACACTACTCCCTAACCTTCGGACGACGACACGGGGGGGTTGGGTATAGGGTAAGAGACGAGTAATCGTCGAGGGGGTCGGTTTTTCCCCCGAGCTTGCAGCAGTAACGGTCTCGAGCTTTTTTTCTTTCAAGACTGTCTGTAATGCGTATATGTGTGGGTATGTCAACCAACTGTACTATCGTACTTTTTTTTTACTACGCTCCAGTCATTCCATCGGTTTTCTCTCTCGTCTAACTAAAAAAAAAGTCTGTAAATTGCACGGAAAGCGCACTCGTGTACCGACGATTTTTGCATTTTTGATGATGTACCGAGTGATTGCTGTACATTATTGGCTCGGTACCAAGATTTCGTAGGTCGTTATTTATTCACCCAACGCATCCTCGTATACACCCACGCATTTTTTTCAGCTACGACGTACGTATACATGTATGTGTCTATGCATGCGTGGGTGTCTCGAACGAACGTGACATATTCTCTACGCCAATTTTTCACGCGATCGTAGAGAGAGGGTTGCGAGAATACGAAAGAAAGTAATGAAAGAAACGCGAAGGGTAAGACAGGAACACGAGCTCACGGCGCGGCGCTGAACAATAAAAAAGAAAGTCCAATTGCACCTGCACGCGTCGTCGTCGTCGTACGTACGTACGTACGTACGCGCGCCAGTTATATAGAATGGATGCATCCACGCGTCTAGACGGAAATCTGAATCGTCGTCGTGTCGCGCGAGACGACGCTTGGACTCTTTTTTGGACGAGCATTTTTTTGAACATTTTTTTTTTATTAACCCATTCGTGCGTTATTTTTTCATTTGCGTTTTCATGCAATTTTCTGTCATATGGCCAAAACTGCGACGAGAAAAATATTAGACTGTAACATTTTTATTTTATTTGGACATATGAATGGGACATTTTCCTTTTGTTTATATATTGGACTTTGATCACACGACTCTTTTGTAAAAAAACTATAGTAAATAAAAATATGAATACATAAATACTGATTCAATATTGATAACCGAGCATTCGAATAGAATAAATAAGACTCTCTGTTCCAATTAGTTTTTGAGAAAGAAGTATCGATTTTCCATTTATGTTTATTCAGTTCAATCGCCACGACGCACACACACAAAATGGGCTTCCTCCTCGCTATATATATGATCAATTAAAACGACACAATGCTGCAGTACAATCGTGTAAAATTTTGCGTTACCTACTTGGGATATACGGGCTCGCAGCAGCAGCAGCAGCAGCATGGCGTTATTGATCGTTTTTGTAAAACCAGCCACACAGACAGACAACACAGCAACAAACGCGCCGGCACTCGTGTCGCACGTGATTTTTCGCTCCGCGAAACGAGCACAACTGCGAAAAAAGCTTCGACTCGTGATGTATACACACAAAATTGTTTCTTGCCAACTACGCGCGGGCTGAGGCGAACAACCCCGAATGTTACTTTTTACGGAATTAGCGTGATTAATTTTTTTGCCGTAGATTTAAAAATTCTTGTTCGTGAGATAATTATTTGAAAGTTTCGAGAGAAATATTTTATTCTTTTATCAAGTTTATCACACATATGGTTTTTATTAGGGCTGTGCCAGTACCCGCAATTTTCGATTTCGAGTCGAGTCGGGAAGTTCCGAGTACTCGCAATGTATTTAAGTTTTAAGAAAATAAATAATGAATATCACCTTTATAAGCATGTACACACGGGAGAGGGTATATAGACTGTTTATTCGTTATTTATTTACTTACAACTTAAATACATTGCGAGTACAAAAAAAATCGAGTACTCGAATCGAACTCGAGGAAAAAACTCTACGAGTCGAGTTTTTTCGAGTACTCTCACAGCCCTAGTTTTTATTTTCATTGTCCGTGAGATTAGGAGCAAAATTTATAGGTTCTTTTATGATTAAAAATATTATCTGTGAAATCGATGCTAACACTTCTCTGGACATATTGGACCTTCGCAGAAGTTAATTTCAGTTTATCGAGTGACAGCTGGGAGAATGAGTAACGATTTCATTGATTCGTTTATATAGCTTTTAATAATTTCCTCGTAGACAAAAATACTATGCTCCGAATTATCATTATTAGCAGTGGCAGTGACTCATATAATAAGTTGTTGATTTAGCTGGACTTTACGGACAATTATCTAAGCTTTCATTATCAATTTTATCGAGAATTTGATGGCCATCTGAAAAATGTAATTTTTTTCAGCATTCTTTTAGCAGCGTTAGTTGTTTTTTATCCTCGAAAATTTGTCATTACCCTTTTATCCTTTGTTATGAATATAATGTAATTTTTAATCATTTTTTAACTTAAACAACATATAAAATGAGCTAATATTGACGTACTAAATAATCAATTGTTAAACCAGAAACAATTAAATAAATAAAAGAGGATGTTTTACTCAAATAATAAAATATTCGTGTGATTCGATAGATCGCGTTGGAAATTTTATCTTCATACGAATGGAATAAAACTTTAGGAGACCAAAAACTACATGTCAGAATAGCACGAAAGGTGATCCAAAAACATTACCCACTATCAGGGAAGTAAGGTCTTTCCGGTCATTATCTCGCTCCAGCATTAAAATTTAACATCAAAATACAGCATATTTTACGTCCGAGTAAATTCTCGAATTTCAGTTAATATTACACTCTCGATTGGCTCGGTGAAATATAATTTTCACATTGTTGGGTCAGTGCGTAGAATTATGAATAATTAAGCTCCCGTACTTCGAAAATCCACGTTACACGTAAGAGTAATTTTTTTTTTAAAACTTTTTTTTATCGTTGAATTTAGAATCGCGTCGTACCAAAAAGATAAGATTAAATATCGTTTTCAGCGACAGACTTCCAATAATACGCCATATTTTCCAATTCCATTATTAATTTAGCTTTCTAATAATAAACGAAAATACGCAACGTACGCTACGATTCTCGCTTAATTTTCATTATCATCATTACTTTTTTTCACGTAAAACACATACACATGGCATACACGCGTTTATCCGAGTTTTAGCGAAACTCGGTCGTGTCCAACGCCGCCGCCGCACACGCGTTTATGCGTTTCTCGTATCGCCAAACGTTTTTTTTTTTTTTTTTTTCAAGGATCCGCGAGCGCGCGCGCTCGACTCGTTTGCATGAAAAGAAAGAAAGAGAGAGAAACAAAATGGGTAAACTTATGTCGTCGACCATTCTTCTTTTTTTTTGACGCGCGGCAGTCGCGTCGCGGAGCCTCTCTCTGTGTGTTTACTGATGTATATGAGAGAGAACACTGCCCGACTGTAGTTATTCCCGACGTTAAGCTCGAGCATTTTTTTTTTTTTTTTTAATATCGCAAGAAGCGAATGAAAATTAAAAAGAGAAAAGGCTCGAGAGTCGCGAAAAGAAAAGAATCGTTATCGTCGTCGGCCGAAATATGACGTGGGAACGGCAGAGCACCTCGAAAGAGTCAATTAACTCAGGGGTAAATATTTCAAAGAACAAAGAGCTTTTCTTTTTCGGTGCACCGGCTAACATCTGGCCAACGAATACTCGCGCTTTGAATATAATTAAGATTATTATTATCGTCGAGTACAAGGCTAATTTCGAACAAACGTTGCTTAGAAAAACTATCAATTATAAATTTTAGCTTTTTTGGGGGGTAAAGTGATTCCAAGGTCTTTTTTTCCGCAGTCAATTCTTCTAATTTGTCGTACCGATAATTATAATTATATTTTTCTTCTTTCCCAGATGGCGCAAGATCCAAAATGGCACAAGGATGCATCAGACCAGAACTTCGATTACATGTTCAAATTGTTAATCATAGGAAACTCGTCCGTAGGGAAGACTTCTTTTCTGTTTCGTTACGCCGACGATTCCTTCACGTCGGCATTCGTCTCGACCGTCGGCATTGATTTCAAAGTCAAGACGGTGTTCAGAAACGACAAAAGGGTCAAGCTCCAGATTTGGGTAGGTTTTTGATTTTTTTTGACTCGTCTTACTAAATAATACAACAAACTTGAAACTTGGGTCGATGTGCTTACTCACGATCGAGACTCGTTTCTCCGGAGGAGCATATATCGACCCATATTCTCCACCATTAACCCAAATCAAATGTCTCGAATAACATCGGCGCTACGATGTACAGTTGCTCTAAGGTTTCACTATATATGTGTAAATAATTTTTTTTCATCTTTTTCCCCCCGTTCAGGACACCGCGGGTCAAGAGCGATACAGAACCATCACGACGGCCTACTACCGAGGCGCCATGGGCTTCATTCTGATGTACGACATCACGAACGAGGAGTCGTTCAATTCGGTCCAGGACTGGCTCACGCAGATCAAGACCTACTCCTGGGACAACGCCCAGATCATTCTCGTGGGCAACAAGTGCGACATGGACGACGAGCGGGTCATCAGTTACGAGCGCGGCAAGCAGCTGGCCGACCATCTCAAAGTTCAGTTCTTCGAGACCTCGGCCAAAGAAAATACGAACGTTAAGGTATGTATAATATCGTTGCGTTAAAATTGTTCGAGATGTTCTAATTTATCCTCCAAAAAACAGGCAGTGTTCGAGACCCTTGTAGATATAATATGCGACAAGATGAGCGAATCTCTGGACAACGATCCGACCCTGATGGGCGCCACGGCCGGCCAGAACAAGGGCCAGCGCTTGACCGATACACCGACCGCCGCCGCGGACCAACAGTGTAACTGCTAAGGTGGGGCAAGCTCCGGGTTATTGAAAAAAAAAAAAAAAATTTGAAAAGTCTTGAAATTGGCCTCGGTGCCTCTGCGGCCCTCTCTGATATATCGTAAACGAGAATGACTAAAAAAAAAAAAATGAAGTTGAATCGCATCTCTGACGATTATATTACACACATACACACCGAGAGAGCTGACGCGGTTCTTAAAAAAAAAAAAACGCCAGCCTATCTCGACTAACATATGTAACGACATTTCACGCCCTTTTCCGTCTATTCCAAAACCAAACTGACAAAAAAAAAACCATCATATCTTCGTTTTTCGCATCTCTGAGGCTATTCGTTTTTTCAAAAATGCTTCTGTCATTTTTTCAGTATAAGGATCTTAGAGAGAGAGAGAAAGAGAGAGTGAGAGTGAGAGAGAGAGAGAGAGAGATAAGTTAGTTCAATTGCAAGCGATGAATATAATCTTGTGAATGTAGATATATGAGATGTAAGAAAAAAAATTTACCTAATGTTGATCAAATCTAAAGTTCAGTTCAACTTTAATGATGTTCCCTGTATGATAGATAATTATGAGAATTTAACGTTCTTAATGCATTGTTTTTTATTATAAATTTGGGAAGATTTGTGAATAGAGTCAAGCGAACCGAGGTATTGGAAAAAATTGTATATTTTAAATTTTCAATTTTTCAAAGCACAAAGTTAGTTCATCGGAGAGCTTTTTCTTATGTTCAAGTGTCCTCTTGCACTTATAGCAGTTTAGTTTAAACAAAAAAATGGTGAAAAAATATGACTTTACAAGTTGAATAAAACTGTTAATGTTCAATTCACATACCTTCGCAACGGTGTTTGTTTTTTATCGTTTTTGAATGCAAATTGTATGCGTGTCGCAGTGTGCTACCTACGCAACTTTATAAGTTTTCTGAATTTTTAAGGTAAATACCCGACTCTCGTTTCAATCGGTGTTATATCAAATTTTCAACATATCTTTTGTCCTTCGAGCTTCGTTCGTCTGGAAAAATTTTTCATTTAGCGCGGAATGCACGCCGTAGTTGCCTCTCTCAGCGGCAGCAGCAGCAGCAAGCACGCTTTGATAACACAAGCCCCGAGAGATATCTGATTTTCTTTATATTCTGCAAACGCATACTGATCTTCCGACTATAGAAATCTAGCCTTCGTATATAATGTATAACTATAGATATTCTTATCCACGCCTACTTCCAGTAATATCGACCGCTTTGGCAAGCTGCAGTCTCTAAACTTATAGCTTTTGGGTTTCGATTACAATGTATTATTTAACTCGAGCGAAATTCAGTCTATCAAAATCGAGAAGTCAATTATATTATTGCTATCGGTTAAAGTCAGACAGCTTTCAACTAGCGGTAATAATTTTTTTTTCTGCTTTTGGTAAAAAATACAATTTGCTTTCAAAAAATATAAAAATCTAAAATTACTTGTTTTAACCTTCGTATGTAAAGGCTGTACCAATTTTACATAAACAGTTTTTTATAATTCAAAAATATTACTGAAAAACATTATATTTATTATTATTATATACACCGACGAGAAAATTGAAGATGGAAATATTCTATACAGTTATCTTCTTTCGTTCGAAAAAAAAAACACCTGCTGTACTTATTGCAATGAACATATCCTTTAAAAAAATTATTAAGGAAAAATATTTCAAGTATATCTAAATAGTATTACTACGCAGTAAAAAGTCAAATTATAAATACTTTATTCAATCATCAGTTTAGGAATTTGTGACAGCACAATATCTAGTGGGTAATTTTCAAAACAAAAAAAGATTCGTTTCTGATTCGAGCAGAGAATCATTATTATAATATATTTATTTACGAACGAGCATATATCCGTATGCAATAAACAAAGATTTGCAAAGTTTTATTAATCGTAGATAGAATCGTTAAGGTGCTTGAACTAACTCGACATTTGAGCGTATAAGTCATGAAAAAAAAAAAAACGAGCGTTAAAATTGTTGCGTAATATAAGCCATTATAAAATATGTGTAAATTTTCAAAGCTGGTACAAAATTTTGCCATTTAATTTCTAATAATTAAAGTAGATAATATATTCTACAATTGCATTGATTCTTCATAAAGAAAAAAAAAAATGTTTATCACCAAGTGATGAGCTATTTTGATCGTAAAACTGAACAATAACTTGTAATTCGTTTGCATTGAATAATTTTGTTGTAAAGAAATTAACTTTTCATTGAATTATAAACATTCTGTTACTTCTTCGTTTCAAAAGCTTATACATATAGGTGAGAAAAAAGTGGATATCATATTGAATTGTTGAGTTTCATAATTTCTTGAATAACCATTGTATGTAATTAAAGAAAAAAAAAAAAAGAAAAAACGTGCAATCGTTAAGCAACCATGTATGTTAGATTTTAAAAAGAGTTTGAAGCGTTAAATTAACGAGTTTTATTCTATATATTTACGTTACCGAATAAATGATTAAAAAGTTATTTAGATTACGATTGTAGCAAAAATACTATGTGTGACTGTATTTAAAAGGTAAACAAACAAAAACAAAGCTTTCGATTTTCAACTGCCAACTGTAAAAGTGTAAAATGAAAAAAAGTGTAAATTACCATTTCAACGTGTAATCATCATTACGATAGTTAACTATTTCAATTCAAATAATTGGGTATTGTAATTATTTTGCAGAATCAAATAAATCGAAACTTGAACTGATATTTCAACTTTATTAACTTAATCCGTAGAGGTTAACAATTTCTCACGAACAAATTGATCAAAATCACTGAATAAAGATTTCAAGTAATCGAGAATTAATCGCTGCGTATTTTGCGGAGATAACCACTTGAAACCACTATGCTCCGCTGGGTCGATACGGACTTCTTTTTGGGCATCGATGAGCTCCGCGATCCAAAACACGCCAATTTTGTCCTTGCGCTTCGACACGATGTGAACCTCCCTTCTGGTGTCCTCGTATATTTTCAAATCGTTTTTATCGTAACCGACCTCTTCCTCGGTTTCTCTGAGAGCAGTCTCCATGTCGGTTTCGCCGGGATCGACGCGTCCTTCGAATGTCAAGGAAAGAAAAAAGGGTAAATCGATCGGGTAAAAATTTCAAAAAATCATCATGTAACTTACCTTTGGGTGGGCCCCAGGAACCTTTTTTAGGTTTTTGCACCAGTAAGTACTCGATGGAATCTCCCTTGCGTCGGAAAACGAATAAGCCACAGATTCGGCCACGGTCCACCATTGTTTTCACTCGGAGTGTCAATCAAAACAAACTCGACTGCGCCTCTCAATAATATACGCAAGACAAAACAAACGACAGGCTAACGGCTGCTAAGGACTACTTGCTCGATTGGCATCCACGAACAAAGTGATGAATTTCGCGCAGTAAGCAAGAAGAGTGCAGTGCGCTGAACCTCACGGCCGGGGCCACACCTCGCGGGTCGCGTGGCAGCCGCCGGCCGGCGACGATGCACTGATAAATGATAATAATGCGCTCGAGCGAGGCTTATATCCACGTTGTAAATTATTATTATACGCATTATATTGTATTCTTCCGTTTGCGAGCTTCGTTTAACCGCATTCGATATCGGACAAGAGTGAGTCGTCTTGTTCAAATAAATTTGAACGAAAACGTCTCGTTTTATTAAAAGATATAGCTTTTAAAAATCTTAACGAATCCTTGCGTTTTTTCTCTTTTAAGATTAATGCTTGACTGCTCTTTTCTAATAAATATAAAAAATTCAAAAGCACGTTTTCGAGCCTATCACAGAGCTTTCTGTACCAGGAAGTAAAAAATATATTATATTTTTACGATATAAATTTTAAAATTATCCTTACGTTGATAGTCTTAAATGTTAGTCAATAATATGATGGATGAACTATAAAAGAAAAAAAAACCACAGAGCTTTCTTCGGGAGAAAGCATAAATGTTTTTATATTTTTGGCCCACATGTAAACTCAAATTTTCCAAAGTTTTTTTCATATCTTCTTCGTTTTTTCCAACCAAAAGTCTTCGTGACCGCTAATGCATCGAATAATAAATCGATAACACGTGTTGGGCCACTGACGTATCTTCCGACAGCAACTTATATCACGAATGCAATCACGAAAGTCACATTAAAAAATGTTTTTTATCACTACGTGCCTAATGTGCAACTTGATTCCCAAATAAATAGATAAAGGCCACCATTCGATTGCCTAATATTTTTTTCTTTCTATCGTTGGGTCATACGTTACGAAATCAGCGTTAAAACATCATCAATTTATGGGCATACCACCAGCGTCGATTCGATAAGTTTTCGCTCTATATAACAAACCATCGGCGAAGATCGTTAGTTCGAAGTATCTTTACTTCCAGTGAATATCGTCAAATTATACCTCCAACAATGTAAGTACATAATCCGGTTGCTACCGGTTAAAAAAAGAGTCCTGGACATTTTTTTCATTCGTTCGAACCCGCGCGATATTTACGCAGGTGGTGGAGTCCAAGACTAGTCTTGCCGCAACTGTTGCTGGTCTGCGCGGTCTTGTTCAACCGCGCGGATGCGTCACCGGCGTCAGCGAAGAAGCCCAAAGTGTGCGTGATCGGCGCCGGGGTCTCGGGCCTGGCCGCCACCCGAGCCGTGTCCGAGCGCACGGACGAGCTCGACCTCGTCGCCTTCGAGAGAAATTCGGAGGTGGGCGGACTGTGGATCTACGACGAGAGCCAGGACAAGGACGCGCACGGACTGCCCGTGCACAGCAGCGTTTACGCGAATCTCAGGTATGTACGATACTTGAAATTTCTTACCGATTTTTTTTGGATCGTTTATTCATGATCACCTTGCCCCGATCTCAGGACGAATCTGCCGGGCGTGCTCATGTCCTTCTTCGATTTTCCGTACCCGGCCGACGAGGGCGGATTGACCTGCCATACCCACGACGAGTTTCTCGAGCAGATGAAAAAATTCGCCGATCACTTCGATCTGCGCAAATACATTCAGGTAAGCTATACATGACAAATTACGACGTCAATCGCTCGGAGAATCGTGAACGCTGTAATAACGACGTTTTTTTTTGTTCAGTTCGACACGCTGGTCGAGAAAGTCGTGCTCGTCGAGGGCAATAAAGACGACTGGAGATCCGACAAGTGGACTGTTATCACCAAGGATTTGAATACCGATCAGGAGACGGCGGTGCTCTGCGACGCTTTGATGATCGGCAATGGGTAAGGGATTACTTTTTATATAATATATGTTGATCCTCGATTTACATCGACTTTCTTCGTGTGCACAGGCATTACAGCAAACCGCGCATACCCAAGATCCCCAACATCGACAAGTTCCCGGGCAAGGTGATGCACAGCCACTTGTACAGACACCCCGAGGAGTTCAAGGGTCAGACGGTCCTGATACTCGGAGCCGGAATTTCCGGTATCGATATCAGCATCGACCTGGCCACTCAGGCCAAGAAGGTTTACCTGAGTCACAATCACGACAGAATCCAGGCCGAGCTGCCCGAAAACGTGGAACAGGTCCGAGGTCTGCGCTCCGTCGACGAGACCGGTAAGGAGCTGATCCTGCGCGACGCGTCGCGGATTCGGGCCGACGCCATCGTCTTCGCCACGGGCTATCTGTACGATCATCCGTTCCTGGGCCCGGACAGCGGCCTCGAGTTCGACGACAATTTCATCTATCCCCTGTACAAGCACATGCTCAACGCCCGACACCCGTCCATGGCTCTCATCGGGGCACCCCTCAACACCGCGGTCTTCCCGGTCACCTACACCCAGAGCCATTACTTCGTGCAGCTGCTGCTCGGCAACGCTCGACTGCCCGATTACGAGCAGAGGATGGACGAGATACTGGCCAAGTACGCGAATCACACGATGACCGACCGCGAGAAGAAGTACGCCCACTCGCTCGACTCGAAGCAGTGGGACTACGAGAGGGAGCTGGCCAAGGCGGGTGGGTTCGAGGTGCCGATCGACGAGTTCGCCAAGCTCTACGACGAGTGGACCCGGTTCCGCATGCAGCATCTGCTGGGTTACAAGGACGCCAGGCTGGAGCTGGCGGCCGACGGCTCGTTCAAAATCATCGGGCCCGATGGCGAGGTCTGGTCCGACTGATGTGCGTGAAAACTATGATATAGAGTTTTTTTTTAAATTGTAAAGTTTTGTAAAATTTGTTGAGTATTTTTAATTGATAAAATTTGTCTATTTATGTGAGATTTAGAGAATTGGTGTAGATAGAAATTCAAATTTGTGTTAACGATATGACGTAGTTTAAAGAGTAAATTAACAAATCAAAACGAGTGAGATAAATTACTAGCAAACTAAACCATTCATTTTTTTTTTCTCAGTGATGGAACAAAAAATACATTGCTAAAAAGTTTTAAAACATAAAATTAAATGCTTTATTAAAAATTGTAAAAATTTAGTAAATGAAACATTTTATACAATGTACATCTTGTTCTTGATTTTTTTTTAATAAAATTTATTCATAATAAATTATTCAACAGTTTTGATAACATTTGAGAGATCATCGGTATCTAAAAAATTAATAATATTCTCAATGCATAACTCGGGCAATGCATATTTTACCAATTCGAGTAAAATCCATTTAGATTTGTCAATGGCGTTTCTCCTTGCAACACCTAGTCTGTATTGCAATTTAACTAAGCAACCTAATTTTGGAAACTCCTTATAAAAATCCCTAGTCGTAACTATTTCTTCAACAGCGCGTCTTTTTACGGTTGATTTGTCAATAATACGAGGACCGTGATACAAAAAGTTGCGCAAAGTCGTGCCGTCATTACCTACTGGCACATCTTCCATTTTATCCAGCTCTGCATTGTATTCTGCCATGTACGTTTTATCATGAAACTGATAAGTCTCCTGTGCTTTTTGGTAGCAGCGAACATTTTCTGGTGTAATAGTGAGCTTCAAGAGTTGAAGCTTGTAGGCCTGAGCCATAAAAGTGAAAAACATTTGATTGCACTTGTATAGTCTCCTGTCATAGTTCATGAGGCAATACGTAAAAGGAGTTTTGCCAGAATTATCAGCGACATTAATATCAGCGCCGCATGTCAAAAGAGCTTCAATGGCTTGAACGTTACTTATTACTACGGCTATGTGCAAAGCTGTACAGCCTCTCCTATTCTGCTCATTTATATTGTTTTCGTCACTTTTATCAAGATGATTCTCAATAGTTCTGATGTATTCGCCTGTGTCGCTCAGAGAATTAACTATGAGATTGTGAAGGAACAAATCATCTGTTTCACCATTCTCGAAGTACAGAGTTTTTTCCAGATGTATCATTTTGGTATCCTAAATAGACTTATTAAACTGCAAAGAAATTATGAGTATTTTAATTTATAATGTAAAAAATAAAAAAATGAAAATACTCTCATACTTTTTTTTAATTTACATGCACTTAAGGAGTTTTAAAAAATGCTTACTATTCTCACTAAAATGCACGAAGAATCATATGTCTCAACAAGCATAACTCTTCGACGCCTTGACTTTTCTGTCATTAAACAATAATGAGTATAAACAAGTGTGGGATGCACGCCCTACCCAAAATTTCTAAACTCTAAAGATAGCACGATCGAAACACGACATTATCAGCGAAAAATACTCGTGTACTATCACAAAGCCAACCGCGTCAAACGGACCCGCGAAAGCTCGCATAATTTAACACTCGCCCAAAATGCATACTACGCAAAATACGGAGCTCTGTTCTGCTCTCCAAAGACATATAGTTAAAAGTATTCGCATTACCTAGAAAGGCAGACAATGTACGTGGACTCGGACGTGGCGCTGTTCACCTGAATTCGACACTGCTCCGCGTCGAACAAGGTGGCAGCCGTCGAAACTACAAGTAACGAAGAAGCCGCTTCGCGACTGCAGAAAATCTCATCCTATCCGCACGCCGCGCGTGACGTCGTCTGACCGACACAGTGTTGGTATTATAGTCGAGCTTTGGTCCCAGGCGCTGCGCGCCACAATTGCCGCACACACCAGTAGTAGTACAGTCCGAAAGAGTGGTTTTATACCGGAACCCGAAACACACATCGAGAGAGTCCCCCCCTTGAAGCCGCACAAAAACACACAAGCGTGAGTATTCGCTCCTTTTTTTCATCTCATTCATCTGTAAAACATCGGTTGCTTTGTTCCATGAAGTTTTCCGTACGAAAGTAAGTCGGACGAGTTTTCTATCGCGCGCGTGCGAAAATCGTCGCGTGTACATACGCGTACCAGATTTTCGCTCCAAAGCCGCGCGAGTCAACCCCATAACCTCTCTCTCTCTGTGCATAGCATCGCCGCCGCTCGCGGCATAGTGTGTGTTGTTCTCTACGTCCAAAAAAAAGGTACACGCAACGATGAAACAACGGCGAATCGCGACAACTTGCCGCCTCCTAAGAGTTGTTTACGACGTCTTCCACGCAGTTATAGTTTTAGTTTTTTTTATTGGTACGAAAAAAACATTGCTTCTGCGGAAGCAGCAGCAGCAGCACAACGGCTATACATAGAATCCGTGCGTTATCTCCGGTGTGTGTGTGTGTGTGTATGTGTGCGCGCGTGAGTAGAGTTATATGTGTGTTGGTGCGCGTGTGCTCGTCGGTACGTAGTATACATACAGCGTGATATACGCGTTGGCCCGTTTTATAAATATAATAATAATAAAATCGCAATTAAGAGTTTCGAGTTACGTTGCTGTACACCTGGCGCGCGAAAGAAGGCACGAAAAGATCGTCGATGTTATTGTTCGACGCGATGATGATCGTATTACGGTAAATGTGATATCTCATTGGAAAAGACCTCGGTACACTTGTGCTGCTTTTCATGGAGATTGTTTTCGTGTATATCTAGTCTCGAAAATGCCCAAAAGTCGAGTGGTCGAACGTTTTATTTATTTACTTTGATCGTTCGTTTTCAAAAATATATTTTCGATTAGTCGTTCTCGTTTTCGAATTCAAATATTCGACGTTAACAAATTTCCAACTCAATGATAAAATTTGCTTCTATTTTTGTAGTCTCGAGTTTTGCTCGACTGTGTTCTTTTGGCTAATTGTTTATTTCTGCTAGCACGTGGACAAGCCACTCTGTCAGTTCATATGCAATCCGTTTGATTACGAGCTACACGAGTTCAAACTCGTCAGAATCAATTTTTAAAAATTAAAGCTTTGAATACAACACGATTTTTTCACGATTACATTTTTTTCTCCAGAATCTTTCTTTCTCTCAAGTACAGTAGTAGGTGACACTCACTCGACTCGCGCGCGCGATATCATCCTACACACAATAATAATAACACGCACCGGCGTCCCCCTGTACGTTTATTATCATCATTGTGTACATGAAAAGTGCACTCTACACGCTTGGCTATCGCTCCCCCCAGTGCATAGCGCAGACACGACTGCTGCTGCTGCACTCTCGAGTCGCAACAACCCTCTTTCGTGATAATAATGATAGTAACGCTGAAAAAAGCCGCCGCCGCCACCCGACGTCGTCGCGTTGGGGGCTCACGACAGTGCACACGCCTATTATCTATATACCTATACCGATACACATGCTCACCTATGTTTACGTGTATACATACGCGTGTTTGTGTGTCTGTCTCTGTGCGTCACGTGATATGACTCGCTGCTGCTCCCCGTCGCAGCAGATATTATAATCGTCGTTGTTGCGTCGTCGACGTTCCCGCGACGTCGAGTCCGTCGTCGTCGTCGTCGTTGTTGTGTGTATATAATATCAACGCACATCGTAAACAGCGCGGCGCGACGACACTACTAGTGGAATGTTGTTGCTTTCGCGTGTGTGTGTGTTACCAGAAACGCAGGTATGTGCAAAGTTTAGCATACAAACACACAACGATGGCAACAAATTGACTCCGAGAGACGCGAGAATTGTGAAACGCGCGCGCGACGAGTACAGCGTGACTCGTTGAAAAATTTAAGTATGTGTGCCACGTGAGAAAGAGGTGGTCGTCGTCGTTGCACTGACACTGCATTGCATTGCGATTCTTTCGAGCAGCACAGCTGGGAAAGAAATGTAAAGAAGAGGAAGAAGCAGGCGGTAAAGCTCTCGGTTATGCAACTCTAGTTAGTGTCGCAGCTTTTGCTCGAGGAGAAGAATAACAACATTACACACGTAAGTTCGTTGATATACTTGCCAATAGACAGCATGCGCTTAGAGAGCAATAATATTATGATAGAAGGATGACACGATTTTTTCACGGTTATCTTAACGTTGCAATAGGTGACGTCAGCAGCAGCAGCAGCAGCAGCAGCAGTTATGAATTTGCAAAATGACGAGCAGCAACAAAATCTCCAGGACAAGATACTGTCGCAGTTCTACTACGTCTGCAGCAATCGCCGACCGAATCTCGAGCAGTGGATCGATCAGTCCCAGCTCCGAGTCAACGCCTCGATCAGTCGGGACTCGCCCACCTATCCGGGCTACGCACCCCTGCATCTCGCCGTCTCGTGCAAGAATCTGCAGGCGGTGGAGGCGCTGCTGCGACGCAACGCCGATCTCGGCCTCGAGAACGCCCGCGGCCAGACGCCCGTGCATCTCTGCCTGAGGACCATACAGACGGCGAGTCGACGCGGCCGCAAGTGCACCAGCAGCGAGAAGACGCGCAAGCTCGAGTCGATCCTGGAGAAGATGCTGGCAGAGGCTTGGCGAGGGAGTTATGTGAACGCCAGAGAGGCCAGCACGGGCCTGACGCACTTTCACGCCGCCTGCTACAAGGCCAAGGAGGCCATCGTGGCGGGCTACCTGGAGAGCGGCGGCGGCAACGTCGCGGACGTCGTCAATCGGCCGATGCGCTTCGACTCGCCCTACTGGCCGGGCTGGACGCCGCTGCACGTGGCGGCGCGCTACTGTCTGCTCAATGTAGCTGGATTGCTGCTGCGCCACGGCGCCGACGTCGGGGCCAAGAACGCCCGGGGCCAGACCCCCCTGCACTGCGCCATCAGGCAGGGCAATCGACGACTCATCGAGATGCTCTTCGTCGCGCTCAATCAGAACTGCCAGAGCGTCAATCCGGCGGACAACGTGGGCCTGTCGCTGCTGCACGTCGACTGCATGATCGGCGACGAGCCCGACTCGCTCGACAGATTCCTCCAGCAGCCCGCCAACAATCAGCAGCAGGCGGTCGTCGATCTCAATCTCCAAGTGGAGCGCGACCTGTGGGCCGGCTGGACGCCGCTGCACGTCGCCGCGCATCTGCGCAACATCTACTTCATGCGGCTGCTGATACAGAACGGCGCGGACGCGAACGCGCGCGACGCCAACGATCTCAGCCCCCTGCAGCTCGCCGTGCAGAAGCGCATCGTCAACATGCTGTTCTTCGATCTGCTGCTGAGCCAGTACAACAAGCAGGCCCGGCGACGCGTCCTCGTCGACGGCTACCGCGACGACGCCTACAGACTGTACGCCGCATGCATGTGCTCCCACAAGGACGCCATCCGCGAGCTGCTGGACAAGAACGAAGGTCGCTGCTTGAACGCCGCCGTGCCCGAGGAGTATCCGTTCGATCTGCCGGGCTACACGCCGCTGCACTTCGCCGTGGAGCGCGGCGTACTGGAGACGATTCAGCTGCTGCTGGAGTACGGCGCCGACAGCTGTCTGCAGGACGCCACCTGGTCGATGTCGCCGCTGCATCTGGCGGCGCGCAGGAAGAATTTCGAGGCGGCTCGACTCATAGCCATGTTCACGGATCCGCGCCGGAATCCCAGGGACTCGCGGGGCCTGACGCATCTGCACGTCGTCTGCATGCTCGACGAGACCGAGATCGCCGAGAGACTGCTCGACAATGCCGATAATCAGATCGACGCCAAGACCAAGAGCGGTGACACGCCCCTGCACGTTGCAGTCAAGTCCGGCTCCAAGAGGATAGTGCGGCTGCTGCTCAAGCGCAGGGCTGATTTCACGATACAGAACTCCCAGGGACAGACGGCCCTGCACCTGGCCGTGGCGGCCAACGACGAGGAGACCTGCCAGCTCGTTCTGTCGTCGTACAACGACGACGATTACTACTCTGCGTTGACCGATCCGAATCCGAGCGACGCCCGGGGCTTGTCGCACTTTCACGTGGCCTGCATGAAGAACAAGCACGACCTCGTGGCTCGCTTCCTCGAGCACGACAAAGTCAATGTAGCCTCGTCCATGCAGGTGAAACTGGACGCGGACGAGTACGCCGGTTTCACCCCGCTGCACTTCGCCGTCAAGTATCAGAGCCTCGAGACCATAGCGATTCTGCTGAGGCATTCGGCCGCCGCCGACACGATGAGCTTCAAGGACGCCTGCGACAAGACGCCGCTGCACTACGCCTGCGACAGCAGCACGCAGTACACGTCCAAGAAGATTTTAGATTTGTTCTGGTCGAGCATCGACGACGATCTCGACGTGGATCGGCTCGGATTGACGGCCGTTCACGTGGCCTGCATGAGGGACGACTCGGCGATGGTGCAGCAATTGTTAACGTTGCAACCGGCGGCGGTCAACGAGGCGACGAGCTCGGCCTATCCGCGCTGGCCGGGCTACTCGCCGCTGCACTTCGCCGCCAAGCACGGCAGTATCGGCACGATCCAGAAGCTGCTGGACGCCGGGGCCGAGGTAGACGCCAGCGACAAGTACGGTTTTAGGCCGCTGCACCTGGCCTGCTCGCGCTCCAAGGCCAAGGTGGTGCGCAAGCTGCTGGAGGCCGGAGCCGATCCCACCGCCAAGAGCCACAAGCACGTCACGCCGCTGCGGCTCGCCGTGCAGGTGAACAGCGACGAGATCGTGCGGATGATCCTGTCGCATCCGAGATCGAGAAGCGTCAATCCCATGGACAACAAGGGCCTGACGTACTTTCACGTCGCCTGTCTCAGAAACATGTGCGACGTCGTCGAGGAGTACCTGACCAACCGCAACGACAACAACAAGCTCGCCGCTCCGTTGGACGTCAATCAGACGGCTCATCCGCTCGCCCTCAAGTACCCGGGCTACACGGCTCTGCACATGGCCGTGGAGAGGTGCAGCGGCAGCGGCGGCCGCCTGGTCGGCCTGCTGCTACGTCACGGGGCCAACGTCGACATCGACGACGGCCAGGGTCGCACGCCGCTGCACCTGCTGTTCGAGCCGCGACTCAGGCGCAACGCGGCGGCCGCCTTCGAGCTGCTGGTGCGCGGCGCCGCGCCCGACGCGCGCTCGGCCCTCGGCGACACCTGTCTCGAGTTCGCCATCAAGCACAATCAGTGGACCATTTTTCAGCTGGCTCTCGGCCACGGGGCCAATCCGAATCTAGTCAATCCCGTGCTGGAGCAGCGCCGACCGCTGCAGCTGGCCATAGAGTCCTGCAGAGTTGCCATGATCGAGGCTCTGCTGAACAGCGGAGCCGAGGCCACGATCAAACTCGCCGACGGCAGTAATCTCGTACACTGGACGGTTAGCAACGTACCCGTGTCTGTGCACAGTGCCACCACGGTAGGTACATCCCGATTATCGAATCGTTCGTTTAAATAGCCAAAATTTAATGTACTTAATTTCTTCACTCGAGCAGGGTAACACGTTGATTTTGTCGAAGATCTTCATACTGCTGCTGGAGCACGGTTGCGATCTGAACGCGATAGACGCCGCCGGCCGAAGTCCTCTGCATCGCACTTACTGGCCAACCAATTACTCGGCTTTAGAGGCGCTGCTGAAGTGCGGCGCGGACATCAACACCGAGGACCGGTCGGGCCGGACCGTAGTGTCGTTTCTGTTCGAGATAGCGTCGAGTCGAATAGATCGACCCTATCTGTACAAGATACTGCTGAGGCATCTGGAGCTGCGAAGATTGGCCGGGCCTCGACTCAGCCCGACCAACGAGGCTCTGTACGACACGCTGCTCGAGGCCAGCGAGGTCTTTCAGGAGTCGGGCGAGGAGGCCTATTACGAGGTCGACGACGACTACGCGAGAGAGCTGAACTCGATGCGAGACGTGTATTTTGGAGGGTACGTAACGCTGTGGAAATTGTACAAGGACAACAACGCGATGGCGCGTCACCTGGCCAGGAGCGGCGGCTTCAAGGCCTACGTGAGATCCGGCCAGGTGCAGCAGAATTTCCCGCTGTCCAGCTGCCTGATCATGATGCGCTACGCCAGAGCACTGGCTAGAGAAAAATTACTGGGACCAGCTGTCGAGGCACTAGCTCAACTGTTGAAGGAGAACGTCGAGTGGATCAACTGGAACGACGAGATGTCGGACGCGCTGATAGATTACCTGGACGACCAAGATTTGAAAAATCTCACCGAGGCATATGGATGCTGTGAACATTTTTAGACGAACAGTTTGTTGTTTTTTGATATAAGTGCTTTCTTGTGATTTTTAAATGGAAAAATCCACCCCGGATATATATTGCCCACCTTTGAATGGATGGAATTTTTTTAAAAACAAAAAACAAATGAAATCTGGAAGAATTATACATATATATCATTAAGTTTTATAAGTTTTAAAAGAAAAATTATGTACAAACATAATTAAGATATTATGTGATAATTGTTAAGAAAAACAAAATTCATTGCAACGGTCCAAAGATATTCTAGTCAAATATATACATTGTTTTAGGCATGTGCCCTTTACATTATACAATCGTTATGATTGTGTAATAGATAAATATATACAATGTAAAAGCATACCAAAAAAAACTGTAATAATATAATTATATACAATATGATACATTATAATGCCTGTGTATGCCCATGTGGACACGATTCAATGAATTCCAAATGACATAAATGTTCTGTCATTTTGATGTGATGTAAAAGAAAAAAAGAATCTTTACGAATACACTCACCAAACAACTCGACTCGAGTTAGATGTTTGTTATCACCCTCCTCAATATGCGATACAAATACAAAAAACAAATATGCCTCGAGCAATATTATTTTGACAATACAATATTTAGATGCATTAGATAGAGATTCTGGTACATTTTATCATTTTTTAGTACAACTTATAATTAATAGCCAATTTATATGCATTCAAAGCCAATAACTCATTGTTAATGAAATTTTCCACCAGGTTCCACACACAAACAGAGGGAGAAACCTTCATCTATCCAGTCAACAGTGTAAAACACAAATAACGCATCCAAAATGGAAATGAGTCTAGACGATATCATCAAACAGAACAAAGGCAGCCGTGGTCGCGGTCGTGGCATGAAACGAGGTGGCGCCTCGGCCGGTGGTCGCAAATTCACCGGCTCTCCCAACAGACGAGGTGGCTCGTCGTCGCGTGGCGGCTCCGGCAGCCGCGGCGGAGCCCGCAAACCGGGCGGCGGTGTGATTCGCGGCCGCGGCAGAGGCGGCATCGTGCGCCAGAGAAGCAGCTTCGGGCAGCGCTCGCGCGACAGCGTCAAAGCCGCCTTCCTGGGTGGCAGCGGCTCGCCCTCCAAGAAGTACGGCGGCGCCACGGAGCAGGGAAAACTCTTTGTGTCGAATCTCGACTTCGGCGTGACCGACTCCGACATTCTCGAGCTGTTCAGTGAATTCGGCACCCTGAAGAGCGCCGGTGTCCATTACGATAGATCCGGTCGATCCCTCGGCACGGCGGATCTCATCTACGAGAGGAGAGCGGACGCCATCAAGGTGTGTTTTCGTGACGCCACTGTCACTTGACGATTCATCTACGAACTGATGAAAAACAAAAGATACAAATTATTAAACGTGTGACCCTCTTCGCAGGCCATGAAGCAATACAACGGTGTACCACTCGACGGACGTGCGATGAACATACAGCTGGCCACCTCTCAGATCCCCAGCACCACTAGTATACCCAGACGCACGACCACTGCAGGCAGCAATTTTAGAAGTTCTCGCGGCGGCGGCTCGTCGTTCAATCGCGACAGACGCGGCGGTGGCGGCGGACGCGCCAACTCCTCTCGTGGCGGTGCCCGAGGAGGTGCGTCCAGAGGTGGCCGCGGTGGACGCGGCGGAGCCAAGAGAGGCGGAAGACAAGACAAGAAGCCGCCCACGGCCGAGGAACTCGACGCCGAGCTCGAGGAATACGTCAAGAGCAAAGTGTCCAGCACCGAGGGTGCTTAAAGCAATTTACACATTATCCACATAAATGCCCTACACATCATCACACCCAGCATGGCTCGACATTTCTGTAAATACGTCTATTTGCCCATTTAAAAATTGAACACTTAAAAGACAAAAGCTGTGGGCCATGCACACATAAAAACAACTCAGCAACTGTCTTTCATAGACTAGAAAAAAAATAATAATGAGGGCTTACGAGGAGACCACTCGACTGCTGGGACATTGATTTTTCCAACAAATTTTTATGGCGACTACGCATAAAAAGGGCAAACTTAGCTTTTCTTCTAATCTTATTGATGAACCTGGAGAACCATCTAAAAGTTGTTCTAATTTCATGTGCATTCATAAATGCACATATGTTCAATCGGATAAGTGTATATTTAAATTAGGAGAAATGTTTAAAAATCGGTTCAACCCATGAGATTATTAGTAAAAGAAAAATCATACTTTTTTTCTGTTTGGTCGTCAAAACAACTTTGAAATTATGAAAATCCGCGCCTCGAAACTCGAGTAGTCTTCTATAGTTGATATATATAAATGATGAGTATATGGGCTTCATGACGTGCAACCGAAAGAAACCTTTTTTTTGTAATGTTCAATATTACTTAGTAGCTTAAGCTATATTGTATTAGCTTAATGGAATTAAAATAAAAAAACTTTTTTACGTGTGTGCGTAGATTAATAAAAAAAAATTTTCATTTTTATCTTTAGCGACAGCGAAGTATTGTTTAGACAAGATTTTTATAAACGAAACCATTAAAAAAGAAAACGCGTGAATCGTTTATCATCAACATATAAAACTCGTTTAAATCGAAATTTAGATGTAAAAAAAAAAACAAAAATTTTAAATACACTCTTGTCATCTTATGTAGTAACAATCTTTTGTAATATGTTGAGCATTGTAACAACGTAATAATTCATCCTCATTTTCAATAATATTTAGTAATAAATATGAATTATTGTACAACTTGACTTTGACACGAACTTCTTCTTTTTTTATTAAAAATCATATCTCATTGTAACGATTAAACCCACAGCAAGTTTCCAGGCTAAACAACAGTTTACAGTTGTTCTACTGCAGCTTCTGTATGTATTTTTCAAATTTTTAATTCCAAGACGTTGGTACGGAGGCCTCCTACTTTACCATTGGACACGCATGCGCATCTTTGAAGTATACGACCAGTAATGCCACACCGGCGTTGAAGTTCGAACTTCCAAATGCAGGAAGAAGAAGATAGAGTGGGGATACCGCCATATATACAGCTATGTATATCGAAGCCGAGCGTGTGTTAGTGTATACTGTAGCAGTTTGTGACTAACCATAGTAGTAGCAGCAGCATAAACAAAGCCACGCTTGCTTCGTTGAGTGCCAGAGGATACAGTTCGGTAGCAACAAACTCGTCGTCCACGTGTATAGCTTCGTACACCAGGCAGCAAGCACGATCTCTCGCTAGCGAAAAGGTAAGCCTATTTGTTCTCTGCTTTTTATTGAAAAATCGTCGTGAATTATCGAAGCCGTCTCGGCCAGCGGTTAGATGAAAAACAATATGGCCGATGCCCGCCTGTATTGTCGGCCAATGTTTTTGTTGACTCGAGCCGGTATCTGTGTGAAATAGTCGTTGTTACGCGTGCTATTTAAATATTTATTGTTACAATGAGTGATTGAAGAGTCATTGAACAGTTGTACCGTGCGATTTCGTGGCATAAAAAAGATGTTATGACTTGTAGTAACAACATAACCTTCAAATTAGTCCGGGTTCTATTCTTGTTCAACTCTACGTCATCAATTCAAAGCTATTCTATTTTGATCTTCAACGAGTCCCTAATGTAACTGTTTTTCTTTACAGAAATATCACTTGTTTTTTCAAAAGTTAAACAAGAAATACACCGCATTAACATGGCTGACAACATGGAGATGAGCTTGGATGACTACATCAAGAAGAACAGAAAGAATCGTGTCAAGCCTGCGGGTAACAAGAACAAGAAAGTAGCTGGTGGTGTCAAGAAAGGTTCACCGATGAAGAAGAAGGCTGGCGCTGCTGCTAACAACAAATCACCTGCCAAAAATCAAACCCAGAAAAAAAACCCCAAGAAGTTTACCAAACCTGGTAGTGTAGTGGCCAAACCAGGTGGTGGAGTTAAACGTGGTGGAAAGTTTGGTGGTATTGCTCGCAATAATGTGTCAAAACCAAATAACAATGTCTTAAAAAGTGTTGCGAACAAACAGATCAATGAAAAAACAAAACTCATTGTATCAAACTTGGATTACGGAGTCACAGACTCTGATATCGCTGAATTGTTCGGAGAGTTTGGAACTCTGAGAATGGCGAGAGTACAGTATGATCAATTTGGCCGATCTCTAGGTTCAGCTGACGTAGTGTTTGAACGTCGCATGGATGCCATGAAAGCCATGAAACAATATAATGGAGTCCCCTTAGACGGACGCAAAATGAATATTCAGCTGGTTGTCTCTGAATTATCGCAGCTCAATCAAGCACAGAAAAGTTTAAGTCAGCGTTTGGGCTCTAAACCAGCTGGTAGCAATAAACAACAAAACAATAGATCTCCAGCGGCCAAGAAGAAGCAAGGTACTGCCCAAAACAACAAGCAAAATAATAAGGCCAAGCAAAACAAAGGTGTTCAAAACGGAAGCAAAAACATTACCAAGAAGAAAGGCAAACCAAAACGCGAACCAAAGGTTGTACCAAGTGCAGCCGATCTGGATGCCGAACTCGATGAGTACATCAAGAGCAATACGAGTGCCAAGGTGGCATAAATTGCTTTGTAAATTATTAATAATAACTGTATCAATGTCTATATAAACGTAACAAACTGTAAGAATGTGATGATAATGTCAAATTTGAATCTACGAAGAAAAAAATTTAAGAACAGAGAGCATTAGTTTTTAGATACTATTTTTATTTGAGTAGTTTTGTGTTATAGATAAGTTATCTAGCCGCAGCATCAGAGTTGCGACAGATCTCTACCTGTCGTTGTACATCTGATATAATTAGGAAAATTTAAATCAAATATATGTATATGACTCAAAAAAAAAAACTCTCTTAATCATGATGTTAAATGAATTTGTAATGAATGAATTATAATGAATTCATATGTTTTGTCTGATAAATAATGAATGACATTCTATTGCATAAGATAAATAATGAAATTAATAAGGAATTTAAACAAATTATAATGTACTGAATATAATTTTTATTTTAAGAAATAAAAGACTCATAAGATTTAAATTCAAGATTTTTCCTTGTTCAATTAATTTTCTAGAATCATACGAGGATAAAATTGTGTTGCATCAATATCAACACTTGGCTTGACATACAAAATAAAAATTGTATTGGCATCAGTATAAACTCGTGGCTTGGAAAGTTGGAATAAGCACCACATATTCAGTGACGTGGCTCCCTCTGTACGTTGCAAGTAACACACGCCCAAACATGTCTCTCTTCCATTTACAGGCTTGTCTATGCACGTAGCACTAAGAATTGCTAGAGGCCATCGCGCAACTTTGACCGCGCAGAGCCTGCACTGCATAGAGGGTTGCGTCGGCGGCGGCGGCTCACAGTCCGAGGCGCGACACCACACATCTCGCGGCAGTCTCTCGCATCATCGGAGCGCGATATCGCAATTCGCACAGCCCAAGAAGTCCGAGAGTGCAGCAGCACATCCAGCGCGAAACTCGTAATATATATCCAGCAGGATATATATTGTAATAAATTTGCCAGTGCCGAAGCGAGAGCAGCGGTCGCTGTTATAAATATTTTATCGCATCCTCATTAATAAATCGTACGTTACGATCATACATTCGAATTGAAAGAAAAAAATTTCGATCCAATCCGTTGCTAATATACTAGCCAAAGTAAAAAATATATGATTAATTTTAATCGTGCGTGCGTACGCGTGTATAAATTGTACAGACAGAAAGTTAAATCTATGAAATAAATAATCACAAAAAGGATAAACAAATATCTTTAAACAATTTTACAACAATCCCGAATAGTCAACTTGTGTCTTCGGCATCGTCGCTCGCGTTCCGAAAAAAACAAAAATCAAAAAAAACACTTGGCGCGCAAAGCAGAGACACCCGCAACGAGTATTAGGAGTAGGAGTAACGTACAAGCGCAAAAAAAAGGAAAGAAATAAAAGAAGATAGAGCCGCTTTACAGTTTTTGCGTGGCGTTAAAGAAGAGAGTCGTTCGTCCACTGTGCATGTGCTTATTGCTACGGTCGTTTTTGTGCGCGCTGCTATCTCTTTCTCTCTCCGCCGAAGCAGCAGCAGCAGCAGCAGCAGCAGAGAGTTTCTAACGCGGTGCGTGTGCGTGTCTGGCTCTGCGCGACTCCGTGTCGAGTACATACGTGTGCGTGTGTGTGTGTGTGTAATATTCAACATCTCTCCTAATCGCACACTTACTACTACTACTACTAGCATATACTCTCGTCGCGCGAGGCGAGTTCGAAACGCTCTGCAGTACCATATACCTTATATACCGACCAACAGCTTTGAGAGTCAGTGTGGCCTCGTAACGTGTGCAAGACACATCGTTCTCGTCGTTGTGTTGCGTTAAGCAACGAACTCCTCTGCGCCCGAGTATTAAAGCAGTAGTGTGCTGTGTGTCCCGTACATCGGTACATGTACGATAATATACGGTAGTAGTGCGTCCGCCGAGCAGCAGCAGCAGCAGCAGCAGCAGCAGTTGATTGTTGGTGCCGCGATATACAACACGTATTTATTATATATATTATATTATATATATAGTCGTCTGCGTGTGCGTGCAGTGCGTTACATCGTGCGTCCACTCTACTCTTTCTCTGGTGCAAGTGTTGTATAAAAAAAATATTTGGTTTTATGTGTGCCCGTTGTAGCAGCATAATAACAAACAACAGCGAACGCCGAAGGAGCCTCCCTCGCGACGAGCAGCAGCAACGACATATTTTCGAGTACTCGTCCAGCTAAAAGGAAAAAATAATAAACAGGAGGAAAACCTGCCCGTCGTTATACACATATATATTATTTATAAAAGGTGAGTGCCAAGCCCGAGTCTCGTCGAGAAAAAAGAGAGAGTCGTCGTCGTGTCTTGTCTCTCTCTCTCTCTCTCTCTTCCTCCGTGCGTGTGCAAAGAGAGAGAGAACGAGAGATACGTTACATTTTTATCTCCTATCGATAAGCATTATAAAGCGCATATATATGTATACACGCAGGAGAGAGAGTCTCAATGATGTGCCCAGGCTTGCTGCTCTCGTGTACTGCTAAAAATCCTCTATACACGTACCCTATACGGATATCATCGGTACGTACACCTACGTGCGTGTGCCAAAGTGCGTATGCGTGTGCGCGCGCGCTTGCTTGCCTCATTCAATGCTACTACTATATTGTATATGCATGTGTAAGTGTAACGCGATGACGACGACGACGACGACGATGATGAGTAACGGCTGCTCCACGCCCTATTACCATTCGTGCGAACTTGTGTTATATACACACACACACGCATACATGCACACGCGCGCACACATACGCGTATAACATGGAGAGAGAGCGAGAGAGCCGCAAGCCTTTCTTGTACATTATATACAGTATATATATTTTATATATGGTATGTACGCGATCGTCATCGCACGCGCACTTGGCCATCCTCGATCTCTTTTCCTTTTTCTTTTTCTCTCTTCCATAAAATACGTATAATGTGTTGGTATCTCTCTCTCTCTCTGGCCGTGTGTCTCTCGCGCCGTCTATAACCTATAAGAGAGCGCTTCGCGTACACACATATACACGCACACATGCATACGTATCTACGCGGAGGATGTTATATATAGGTGTGTGTGTGTGTATAGCGTATACGAGTCACGCGTTATTTCAGCGCCTGCGAGCGTAGTCATCGGCAATCAGGATCGTGTCGAATTTTCAAGCTTAGAATTATATCGCTCGATGCTCCGTCTCGATTTGGGCATGTGCTTCTTCTATACTTCGAAATTAACGAGCATAAGTTCATTCGGGTGAGTACGTATAGGCACATGCATGGCGGCATTATGTATGTATAGCCGAGAGTCCGGAGTCAAGTGATACAGAGCCGATTCGAGAGCAGCAGCGGCGGCGGCGGCGCCTGATAGTGCGTGCCTCTTTCGCAGTGTCGCAAATCTCAATCTCAGCTCCGTGTGTCCCATACGCACGTACATATACACATTAATAAAGAGTCGCCCAGCAAATATAAATATGTTAAAAGTATACTATGTTCCCGAGTATACGAACGCTCTTATATACGCGTGTGTGTGCGTGATGTAGGCAGTCCTCCGCACCGACGACGACGACGACGATGGCATTCCGCGGCACTTCCGTCTCTGTCTCTTTCTGTATCGCACGAGAGCTCGAGACTCCGTATATATATATATACCGCAGCCTTCCCTACTATATAGCAGCAGCAGTCAGCTCAGCGGCATGGGCGCCTCTTTCGCTTGCGAAATATGTTATATATACATGTGTATACGTGTGTGCGTGTGCGTTACCGCTGATGCGGCTGCAATACTCAACAGTCAACGCACACACACACACATACGAGCGTCTCTTTTCCTCTCTGTCTCTCTCTCTCTCTCTCTCTACTGTCCGTATATACTATACACATACATGCGTGTGTGTGTATATATTTATATGGGTACATGTACGCGCTTATATGAACGGGATATGCAGTTGGCGTAAACGCGAGTAGAGTAGCATCGGCACAGCAGTAGCAACGCCCGTCGTACCGTACTACTACTATAATGCCAACGAGTATATATATATATAGAGAAGAGGAGAAAGAAAAGAGAGGAAGGTCTCTGCGGTTGTAGCAGCAGCAGCAGCAGTAGCGTACGAGGGCCACCTCCTCCTCGTCCTCCTCCTCTGCAGCCGCCGACTTCGCCGCTTTAAGCTGCTGTCGTATATGATGATATATAAAATACATTTGCTCGTATCTCTCCTTCGTATATATGTTATATAGACACGTATTTATGTTTGTTGTATATACCTACGCACTGACGCACTTACAAATATACACGAGAATCTATCTATATTTGTAATCGGTGCGTTTTCGAAGCTCGACTCTGCTACTGCTGCTTACTATAACTTTATATGTACGTGGGCGAGAGAGTGAATCTCATTTTATAGAATCGTTTTTTTTTTAAATCCTTATAACGAAGCGAGAGGGGACTATAATCATCATCATCATCCTGCAGCTGGGCCCCCCCCCGAGTCATGTGTGTTAAATGCGTTAAAAGCGAGAAAGAAAGTCAAGGCGGCGGCGGTGGCGGCTTAAACTCTCGCGTGCACACGTGCGTTTCAGAAGCTCGCTTTCCTTTCGCGCTTTATGTATCGAAAATATATTTTCATACGTGTATATCTGTAACGCGCCTTCGTCGCGGTGGCATCTCTTTATCTCTTTCCTTTCTTTTTTTTTCCCTCTTCATTATGACACTCGAAATTTAATACGTCGCTGCGTTGTTTCATGCATGCATTTGCGGTTAGCAGCGGCAGCAGCAGAAACCATGGCCCGAAGCCCCGAATATCATTCACCGAGGCTTTTCGTGCGTGTGTGTAACTTTCACGAGAAACGATTTCTGTACGTACGAGAGATTATCGAGAGAGCTTCAAAAATGTTGAATTAACGAATTTACACGACCTTTTGACGTGCTTGACATTCTTTTTGATCGACGCCAGTGTGTACTACATTATACAGAGCCTCGACGTATCCGCCGCCCAAGACTATAATCGACAGCGACTCGATTAGATAAATAGCGTAATTCCTCTCTCTACTTTCTGGCCAGCTCTCGTAGCAGCAGCAGTCCCCATTGAATTCGAGAACTTTGGACTCGTTTTTCGACGTCAACTTTTACTCGCGCGCGGCACAGCACGGCACACGGCTTTATCTTTGCGTAACTTTATTTATTTCCAACTTGAACCGGTATGTATAGCGTGTATACGCTTTTTCAAGCCGACTCGAAGCCGAAGAATGTAATCTTACGCCTCTGTATGTGTGTGTTATAAAAGTGTCAACTCGTGTCCTGCGGAATGTCCGCAAAGCCTCATTTGCTCTCCTACGCAAGCGCGTGCCATAAATGAAAAGCAGATGAAAAATATTGACAAAGAGTCTCCCGCGCGACACGAGATTTTCCACCGTACACACAGCCAGTCGCGTAGCATTTTTTTTCTCTCTGCTCTGCTTTGCTCTGCTCTGCTCTGCTCTGCTCTGCTCTCTAAATCAAATATCACTCCGCTTTTTCTTTATATACATACGCGCGCGCGCCATTGTTTTTGTGCGCGCTACGTGCGGCCGGAGAAGAAATATATGAAATAAAACGAAATAAAATAAAAAAAGATAAACACGGGATCGTCACGGAGGCACGAGCAATTATTTCTCCCCCGACGCTTTTATATTCATCGGCTCTGCTTTTTCCATCCTCCTCCACCGCGAGAACCTGGTGCATATAATGCGTATACACGCAAAAGCACATCTGCATTGAACTTAAAGAGATACACATTTACGTTTTTTTTTTCGAGTGCCTTCATTTCTCTCTCTCTCTCGCGCGTTTATTTGACTTTTTCCAGTAAAGTTCTTGCTGCTTCTTCCTTTTTTTTAACCCGTAGCCTGACGCATCTGACGTCTGTATTTTTTTCCATCTCTCTCTCTCTCTTTGCTTTCTTTATATGTACAGGCAAAACTTGGAGTGCATATTTTTTTGAAAGGTTTTTAAAAAGGGGGTGAAATGTAGTGGGCGAATGATTTATCTCTTTATATACATATTTTTTTTTTTTTTTGCAAAAACATAGCCGAGCGAGAGAGAGAGAAAGCCGCGGCGCGCACAAACGGCGTATAAAGAGCGATGTTATTTTAGAAAATACCTCGGCCGCGAGGATCTCCTCTTTTCAATTGGCCTCGCTCGGGTGGGAGCGAGCCTCGTATAGAGCAGCACCGCACCGCATCGCGGAGCACACTCGATTAATTATAATTATGAAGTTATGTAGCTCGAATATCGTACTTTAGCTCGTTTTCTTTTGGATAACAGAGACAGAGAGAGAGAGAATTTCGTGGACCGCGAACGCGACCTCGCCCCGTATACTAAAGATTACGATAACGTATTACATACATTTTTATACTTTTAACAAAGGAGACAACGCGATTGAGTCGCTAATAAGTATTATAAGCGCGATATATACATTCAAGTGTTATTGTAACAATGGAGCTATACGAAGTACCGATAGCTTCCTGGAAAGTAAACGTATATTCCGGTGACTTGGAAATTCGCCTAAACGGGCCCGATACAATAATTTTTTTTTTGATGCAAATTCTTTCCCCGATACATATTATACGATTCTCTCGATTGAAAAGCCTCGTGTATTACGGAGCCATATACATATACTTAGTCGATATAATAACGCGCGAGTCATCGACGATCGCCCCGTAGAAAGAGAGAAACAGGTGTGCACGCTGCTCGGCGTGAGTCGTGCCTAATGAATGCAGGACGTTGAACGCGCCCTTCCTTATTGTTGCGTGCTTCGTAACGCGTCGTTCGTACGTACGTATTATATCAAAACGATCGTGTTTTCCTCCGTGTATATAAATACGTATATAAAGGTGCACGTGCTCTCTCGCGAGCATAGCGCATACACGGCGATTCCGATCTAGATGTCTGTGTGTGTGTGTAATCGAAAGGAAGCCCCCGAGCTTTTTCTGCTGCGTCCATATTTATTTTTCCTTTTTTTTTTTAATTTTTCTCGTCCGCGCATCAGAGCCCCGCGACGTATGTGTAACGCGCGCACAAAACGCTAAAGCCACATCATCATTACCACTGCTGTATTCTTTCGATTGAATTCCTTTTTTTTTTCTTCGTTCCGCTTTATCGAGAATGCAAGAGGCGCGCACACGTGCGAGAGGAGAGAGTATTTTGCGCAATAACTGTGTGTATATGTTCGTTATATTATTGAAGAGAGAGTATCAGCTCGCACAAGCTCTCTCTCTCTGCTGCTCTGCTACGGGCCCTTGTAAATGCGCAC